TCTTTCTCTCTGGATTATTGTCTCTTGCAGCCACTTATATTTGCCACTTTGGCAGTGGCTTTCATAGGGCTGCCCACTAGAAGTCATGATCCGAGACCCCAAGTCGACTTGCGTCAATGCACTTTTTTTTAGCTGCTTCATTGTACACAATACAATACAGGTTAGAATCATTACCATAACTTTCAGGTTTACAAGGGATTATGGAGCAGAATGTGCAAAAATGGGACAATACGTCTAATATCATAATCATTGAACATTTTGAATTTACCATATACTATAGGCTGCACCTGCACTTGAGATTTTATATTGTACAAACATACTATAACTATATGCCACTTTGCATCCATGTCCATAAGCAACTGAGATATGAGCATTTTATAGTCCTTACCATAACCATGTTGATATTTGATCATTTGTATATTTTGGATTTTGGATTTTGGATTTTGGGTATGGGTGGGATGGTTAGCACTGTTGCCTCACAGCAAGAAGGTCGTGGGTTCGAACCTCGGTCGTCCCAGGCCTTTCGGTGTGGGGTTTGCATGTTCTCCCCGTGTCTGCGTGGGTTCTCTCCAGGTGCTCCGGCTTCCTCCCACCATCCAAAGATATACGGACTGGGTTGATTGGTGGCTCTAAATTGTCCTTAGGTGTGAATGTGAGTGTGAGTGGTTGTTTGTCAGTGGGTGCTTCTCACGTCTCTTAATAGTCATTATAGTCTGATAAAAACAAATAAGTCACCATTAGGTACTTAAATAACTATGCAAAGTGAATGATAAATCCACATATAATACAATTAAATCATCAAATATAAATATCAATAAAAACATTACTATGCCCCTTTAAACATAAATCTACAATTCCATAGATGAGGATATTACTCTTTGGAAAGATATAAGGAGCCTCACATATCTAACTAACCACTTTACATCACAGACTGCAGTAAAAGGGGTTTACATAAGGAGCAATGGCGACAGCTAGATCATTCAGGAGGAACTAAAGATGCTAATCATCAAAGACACGTGGGTTACACTATGCTTGTTGAACCTGAACCATAGACTGTATATAAAAAGACTTGAAAAACATTTTCATTCCCATTATAGCCAACACTAGCTACACACTTCCTCTACTGAAACCACAGAAGAAGAGTCTTAAAGCTGCAGGCACACAGAAATTTCAGCGCCTTTATACAGTTTCCCTTGGGATAAAGTTCTTACCTTATTTTTAAGTCTCTTATACATTTGGTAAACTTGCCTCTCTCAGCTGCAAAGCTATGCTTTTTTATTGTTTCACGTGCAATGTACGTATTTCTTCTTACTACTAAAAACGTGTATTTATAGTTCTGTTGTATAATGGACTTAAAACAACAGTTTAGTGTGGCATTTTGTTTGCAGCCACTGTCACTTTTGATTAAGGCTTTATGACTCTTTCTGCATGTCATGCAATGGTTTCAACCAAACCATTACATGACATTGTCATCTTGAAAAATTTCTCCATGACCTTTACACATTTCAAGTTCACTTTCCTGTATGTGTCACAAACCGAGCACAAGACTCCTTGAAATTGCATAACCTAAAATTAACTTCTGGAAAAGACAGAAATTCTAACCGCAAGAAATCTGATTAAATCTGGTTTTCATTAAAATGCAAGGGTGCTATAAATTCAGAGATAATTAAATTCATCATTAAGGGTAGAGTACTGATAAATGTCTTATTCACTTGCTTACAAAATGTATTTTCTTTCTTTGTTTCCTTAAAACGAAACATTTCCGTTTAAAACAGTGTCCTGAGTTCTGGGCTAAGTTGTAGTAAACTGGACTAGTGAGGGCAGTAGGCCTACTGCGTGTAATTGTTTTTAGTGGTTACTTCAACTTTGACCTTGATGTTGGTTAAAGTCAGACCAGATGCTTTAGATAAAAGACAAATTTTATCAATAGCTTTTGAAATCTTTTTTAAGTGCTGTATTGTCAGCAAATTGATACCCTGAATGTCTGAAGAGTTTTTATAGTATCGCCATCAATTCTGCAGCTAATATATGTAAAAGAGGATTAATTGGACATACCTGCCGAATACCCCTTTTTAAGAGGGAATCTCATTGGAAAGCTGTGGCTGAGAGATATTCTACTGTTGTTAGAGCATTTTAATAACATTACAGAAGCTTTAGCCAAGTCAAACGTTTCCGAGGCTTAAAGCAAAAAGGGGTGTTCTAGCTGTCCTGAAGGTAGGCTTTAAGGACACTCTTCCTGGCTTGCTCCACATTTGGCCCGAGACAAGCACGGGCTTCTCAGTCCTTCTTGCAGAGGTTCTCCCTGAAACAGATTTGCATATCGTTGCAAATCTTGGCATTTTTGGACATCTTCCAGACTTGATCTTTGACAGTTCTTATAGCAAACTGTAAGATGATCTGCCTGGGTCTGTCATCTGTCACTTTTTGGTTAAAGCCTGTGCACAGTATCCATCATGTTTTGCAGATTCTCGGCTGAAAGGGGGGCAACTTTGGTTAGGATCTTGATAACTTCTTCTCAGATGTTTTCTCCTTCTCACTCTGGGACGCCACTCAGTCATAGCAATCATCTCTGTTTATATCTTGCATGCTCCAGACACAATTTATGCAATGCTGCATTCTCTTCTTCCACATCCTCTATTATTCCTTTCAGAGCTTGTGTATGAGTGTCCACCGGCTCTTTGATTTTAACAACAGCACCAGTGTTTTCCTTAAGTTGCCACTTGAAGGCTTGGACAGACTTTTTAACTTGCTTCAGGTTTGAGCTTTTCAGAGGTCATCTGTCTTGTTGTTAGTCATGAGCAAGGATTGAGGAAATTACTTCTTTATTTTGTTCCTTCAGTTCAATGTCTTCATAATCACACACTTGCTGAAGAGCAGCTAATGAGTAGCCATGATCATTGCTAGCTCGAGCCATAACGTTACTTTACCCACATTGATAAAAGGAACTTAAGAAAAACAAAAGATGTCCCTCTAAATGGGTTAAATTAAAAGCGGGAACCTCTGGGTCTTACAACATTTAATAACTTTTGATTACCAACTGATGTAGCTTAACTGCAACACATTTATGAGTAAAGTATAGCCTATTTATGTCACTAGTTTTCATTAAAACGACCATCCTTTTAATGAACACTAAGGGCACTGCTGAGGGTTCAGCTGTATGTACACTTGACAAAGAAACACGTAAGCCATGTTTTTCATTCACTTTCAGCATCATGTATCATTATGCACCTGGAAGACTTTGAGGTCTAAAGTCAGAAATTTTCAACTTGGAAATTCCCGAGTTCTGAGAAGTAAAATACAGAAATGCCCTAAAACCTGTATTTTTTCTAATGGCCAGCAGGAGGCGACAGCAATCTAACATAGATTCCCCCTATGCATGATATACAAATGTTTTATTGAAGGATTTTTGTTTCGTAGTAGACACAATAGAAAAAAAATCAACAAGCATTGATACAATGTCACATTCTATGTCAGTATATAACCATGCTTTTAAAAATGAAGTTAAATCTGTATTTACTTTGGGGCAGTGCAACAAGCTTTAAACACCACCTTGAGTTTTCCAACGAAGGTTAAAATCAAGGGCAACTGCACTTGGTTGAAGATACTGGAAGACGTTTCGTCCCTCATCCAAAGGACTTCTTCAGTTCAACGAACCAGCGGTATCGATGACCCGGGCCAACGACCCCACTGAGGTTAAATAGCTGAGTTTCCCTGCCAGTCAGTCAGAACTGAAGAAGTCCTTTGGATAAGGGACGAAACGTCTTCCAGTATCTTCAACCAAGTGCAGTTGCCCTTGATTTTAACCTTCGTTGGATAACTATGACCTGGATGACTGAGAATCTTCATAGACACCTTGGGTTTCTTTTCCACATTGATGGCAAATAGTTTCCTATTTATAATAGTTCCACAATTTTGCAAGCTAGTCACTGTATCTGTCTGGTGCTGCCCAGGTAGTGCACAGTGGGCAGAGTATTTCACTGCAAACAACTGCATGTGTCTGTTTGTTGCTGGGGAAATGTGATGTGATGTGGGTTCATCATTAAAGCAACGACTTTCACATTAAATGTGATAAACTATTTCACATGACATGTGGTAAACTCCTTCGATGTTGGAATTGAATTAAGTAGCTCTTCTCCACACAGTTATTTTACCCATTGTTGATATAAAATAAGACTTTAAAATGCAACTGAAATCTAAATCAAATTGAAGAATGTATCCACCATAGCAGCTCCACTTATAGCAGTTATATTAGCAGTATGAGGAAGTAAAATATCTTACCACAATTTCTACAGACAGCCTTTACTAGCTAACTATGCTTTCACATGCTCAAGATTTCCCAGTTCGGTGAACACAGAAACACAACTAAACGTATCAGCAAAAGCCAACGGCTAAAAGAATCTGCACAGTTTTTATCAGAGTTGAGCTTAGAGTTCCCCGGATGTGATTAAAGCAGTGATAAAAAAACAACAACTTAATAATGTAGAATAGTAGACTTTGATTTAACCAAAAGGCATAGAGAACAGATGGAGAGGAATTGCATTACACAAAAAAGAAACCTGTTTGACAACCTTGATGAGGGTTTCCAGTAATGTTTTGGCAATGGCCCATGGTCCAAAGTCCAATGGTATTTTGGAAAACCGAAAATGTCGAAGGGGATGTTCTTTGCCCTCATTTAACCTTGAATACATAGCTTGAAAATTGAATTGCCATCCTTTAAAAAAAAAAAATTATTGATGAAAAAGCCAAAAGTGTTCAACCTTCAAATAATGACTAAATCAATCTTGAAAACTAAAAGAGCATCCATGGAGCAGTTATAATTATTCTTTGTGAACTTAATGCTGCATGGTCACTGCAGATAGTTTTCCCCAATTATATATGTTAAATGACTTAATTTGTATTGTCCTATATTTTGTTAACATGTGTGTCTGTGACTTACCTGGTTTTTCAGGTTAAGTGAAAGGAGGCCCTGTCACCAATGTCTTATAACCTCCTCCATAGTTCAGGGAGGAGCAATTCTAAACTAAGTGCAACATACAGTCACAGACAGAGTAGTTGTCTGTATTTGGAGTAGTAAGAAGCAACACCAACCATCATGGAAAGAAGAATCCTTTGTTGGATATTTGTCCTTGGATATTTACATACATTATCTGGACAAGGTAACTAGTGGAGAGATATTTATGCTTTTATTTCAGTTTGTGTTTTATAAGACATTCTATAAAATACTGCTATGTGTTATTGTCTGTTTTTGATCTCTCCTTTATAAAAGCAATTAATAGTTGTTTAATGAAATAAATAAATTTGCGGAAAACAAAATCAGACAAGAAATTGGACTTAAAATGTTTAATTGTTGTTAGAAATTGTAATACGACTAATTAAAAAATGCACCCACTGTTTGCCTTAATTGTCTAAGGATGAAATGATCAAAATTAACGTTGCAAATTTGAAGGGACAACAATGTACATATTACAGATAGAGAGCAAAGAAAGTCAGAACTAAGAAGTCTCTTGAACGAGAGGTGAAACGTATTCAAGTATTTTCAACCAGGTCCAGATGCCTTTGATTTTAACCCACCTTGAATAATAGATCCTATTATTTCCACTCCTTGATTAAAGCCAGTATATACAATGAAAATGACATGATATGTAAAACTGAGATCTTTGATTTCACTGTTTTCCTGAAATTTTTTACAACAACCACAGCTGCGGCACAAACTCCAGTCATCACAACTCCAGATCCTAACACGTTAAGTCCAGCTCCAGACACCACAACTCCAGTCACCACAACAACTCCAGATCCAAATACATCAAGTCCAGCTACAGACACCACAACTCCAGTCACCACAACAACTCCAGATCCAAATACATCAAGTCCAGCTCCAGACACCACAACTCCAGCTCCCACCACAGATACAGCAGTAACATCAACAGGTATGTGAAAACCTGATTTTTCTTTTCTCATTCACTTTCCTGGCTATAATGCAGGAATTCTATTGGGTACGGTTAAAATACATATTTGAAAGCATTGAGAGTGGTCATCTGTATAATTTGATTCAACACTTAACCTGAAATAAATTTTAGTTTAAAGTTTAATTTTCCTCCAAGTACATCAAATGAGTGATGTGTCGGTTGTGAACGAGTTGGCTTTATGAGCTGGCTCTTTTAAGTGAACAATGGGAGCCTGTCTGAGAGCCGATTTTTCCCCCAACAGAAAAAGGAAGTGAATGAACAAATTACACTTACACTAATTGCCTTAACTAACTGAAATTTGCAGTATGTGTCTGTATGGAATTGTATAAGTGTAATAATTCATTTTAAATAGGGTGTTGTTTTTGTTATATAACTAGGATAGCTATTCTTGACATATCACAATTATCAGAGCTGCAAAAACTAAAAAGCACACAATTCTGGTTACACAGACATATCTTTTTAGTTAGGAGATGCTATAAAGTATTTTAGACTTTTATCTATGACATTGTGAATCTAATGAAGTGGTCATGGAAAAGCAAATCTTGATGAAGTGTATTCATTAACTGGCCTCTATCTAGCAGTCTAACAGGAATACAGGGGAAGGACCTAAAGGTAGATAACTGCTCAATGCTTGATGCAGTTCAATGATTTAACACAACAGGGAAGTTTGGTAAGGGAAAAATGCTTATGGGATGGGGAAGCAGGCAAGTGCCAGAAGGCAGTCTAACACAGGCAAAGTAATCCAGTAAGGAGCAGGCTGGAATCCAAAGTCCAATAACAGGCAAAAGGTCAAACACATAGATCAGGCAGACAAAAACAGGTTGCAGATACAGGTCTTAGGTAAACAGATAAACACAGGACAGGTGCAGAGATTAGCGAGCCAAGACGTGAAAAAAAGATAACATAACTAACAATCTGACAACTAGTATATCTAGTGAGTTGCTGATGAGGGAATGTGTATCAGGGGAGGAGTGGGCAGAGCAGGCCAGGGCTGATGAGAAGTGGAAACAGGTCTGATGAGTGGGGCAATCAGGTGAATGGGGAAAGTAGAAAAAGTCTGTGGGCATCTGGTGGACAGCTTGAGGATGGCAGGTCTGGGGAGTTGGGGCTAGTGACAGAGACAGAGAGAGGATAGTCCTAATGCGGAGGGCTGAAAGTGAGTGTGAGACTGAAGGAAGGGACTGAGAGGCAAACTAACTAGTAAATAAAATTAATAAAAAGACATGATCAGTGATTCCCAGAATGTAGACTTCTTTAAAGGCTGTTTGTTCTCATTTGATTTCTTCAGTTATTATGTCCTTATGTTACCTTTAGAATTAGTGTTAACATTCATTGTTTTACGGAAAATGTGAATTATTAATTAATAATACTAAAAGGATCAACTTCAACTGCAGCTCCAATTACCACAACTGAGGCTCCAATTACCACCACAACTGAGGCTCCAACCATCATCACAACTGAGGCTCCAACCACCACCACAACTGAGGCTACAACCATCATCACAACTGAGGCTCCAACCACCACCACAACTGAGGCTACAACCATCATCACAACTGAGGCTCCAACCACCACCACAACTGAGGCTCCAACCACCACCACAACTGAGGCTACAACCATCATCACAACTGAGGCTCCAATTACCACCACAACTGAGGCTCCAACCACCACCACAACTGAGGCTACAACCATCATCACAACTGAGGCTCCAACCACCACCACAACTGAGGCTACAACCATCATCGCAACTGAGGCTCCAACCACCACCACAACTGAGGCTCCAACCACCACCACAACTGAGGCTACAACCATCATCACAACTGAGGCTCCAATTACCACCACAACTGAGGCTCCAACCACCACCACAACTGAGGCTACAACCATCATCACAACTGAGGCTCCAACCACCACCACAACTGAGGCTACAACCATCACCACAACTGAGGCTCCAACCACCACCACAACTGAGGCTCCAACCACCACCACAACTGAGGCTACAACCACCACCACAACTGAGGCTACAACCACCACCACAACTGAGGATCCAACCGTCCCGGTTACCGCTGCCACCACTCCCACCACGACCACCACGGCAGCAACCATCACCACAACTGAGGCTCCAACCAACGGTATGCGAGTTCCCTTATATTTTCTTTTCTCTCTCACTTTCCTGGCTATAAGGCAGGTAGGCCTATTTGCTTTGGTTTGGTTTCAACCATTCTTTCTTGAAAGCAGTCTAACAGGCAGAGCTTGATGCAGTTCACTGATTTAACACAATGGGGAAATCCAAAGGGTTATGGCAGTGGTCGGCAATAGCCGGCCGGCGGGCCACAACCGGCCCGCCGGCAATGATATCTGGTGAATAGATAATCCGTGAATAGAGTGCTTTGAAAGCAGAAAAATAAAAAATTTGAAATAAAAATTGATAGCGGCTGGTGCTGAAATAGATCTCACAGTTACTCTTTGTGATAAAAGACTTTTCTTCTGGCCTGCCATGGCTTGAAAAAAATTTGGTCAAAAGCACAGGCCAGGCAGGAAGGAACAGGTTCTAGATACAGGTCTCAGGTAAACAGATAAACACAATACAGGTGTAGTGACTGGAGGCCAAGACATGAACCACAGAGAAACTAAAATACCTGGCAAGTGAACAAAGGAAGTGAACTGGTATGTATTTTGAGAAGCTGATGAGGGAATGATTTACAGATGAGGAGTGAGCAGAGAAGGCCAGGGCCCTGTCCCACAAAGCAAGTTCAGCATACCCAGGATATCTTTTTTTTAATCTGGCTTCACTAACCTTAACAATCGTGATCGCGAGAAGTGGTCACACGAAGCTGGTTATCAACCCCATAAGTCTACCCGCATTAACATAAAAGAGGCAGTGTTAGCAGCAGATGACCAATCGCAAAGATGGACGAGTCCACTGGCAGCAGAGCGACAGACAAATATACGTAGTCTGTGAGGATGCTTGAAGATGGCAGATGTGGGGTAGAGATGGGGACAGATAGAGAGAACAATGTAGAGGGCTGTGGATGAGAGTGTGTGGCTGCAGGAAGCTGTGATTTGTAAATAAAATCAATGAAAATACATGATTAGTAAAGACTTCTTTCAAAGCCATTTCTTCTAATTTGTTTAATTTTGTGATAATGTCCTGATGTTATCTTTAACATTAGTAATGGAACTGCAATAATTGCATGTATATATAGTATATATATAGTATTTACCAGGATTTTTTCAAACACATTAGTCTTTTATTAATTTCCACATGTAATGTTTTTTTTTAATCCCTACAGGCTTGAAAATACTGGCATTTCTGAAGGTGAAGATAGTTTACTCTGGAGAGGTCAGCAATGAAACCATCGCTGCAATTATTGAACAGGTTTGTAAAACAGAATGTATAAAATAACAGATATGTGAAGGCCGTACAGCTAACATTATCAAATAATAATGCAAACACAATATAAATATCTGTGTTTTCTCTGAATTTAGTTCATTCAAGATCGCCTCCCGTATGGAATAACCCTCAAAATTTTGGTGAGAAACATTAGAGCCGAAACTCCCACAATTCCAGTTCCAACCACCACCAGTCAGACTCCAGGTGTGTAAAACAGAATGTGTAAAATAACTGTTTAGTGAATGCTCTTTAGCTAATATTATCAAGGATAATGCAAATACACAACATAATGGGTAGACGAAGAGAATGAGATAGATCTTCTGATGTTGATTATCTGTGTTTTCTTTCCATTTTGTTTTATAGTGTTCACAGTGCAGTGAAACAGTCGCCATGACATCATAAAAGGGTTGCACCATAGAAGCTTCAATTGGACAGAAATAGTCAAGTCAATGTATAAAGAAAGCAGTTCACCTCAGCGGTTTCATCATATCATTTGAGTTTTCTACAGTTTGATTACAACACATTAAAAGCCATTGTATTCCACTGTGCTGCTGTGATCTACAATCAATATCTCCAAAAAGGGCTTAAGGATTTTGAAAAAATATCTAATTGCAATTATTTTGACTGATATTGCAATAGCAATATGATTTGCGATATTAGGGGGAATGATCCTTTATACATCATTATTTTTTATATATATTTATATATTAAAATGAATATTTTAGTGGGATCTGTACAAAACATCTTTTTTTATTTTTTTTAAGTCTCTAGAATACAATGTGTAGGCCAGGACATCTCTGCAGCATGACAATATTTAATTTAAAGTGGTATCTCTAACAACTGTCCCTCCAGCGATTTGAAAATTGCAGTAGGCCATATTGCGATTTTGTTTAGCCCTTTCTCCAAATCACCAGAAGTAGCTAAATTGCATGCCAGGTGTGAGAAAATGGTCTTTTCCATTAAGTAGAGGACTTTAGGCTCAGTCCCCTTAAATGTCTCTTTATTTTCATTATGCCAAATTAAATCTAACCGCCGACCTTCTGATTAACAGGCAACCCGCTCTACCTCCTGAACAACCACTTCCAATTAATTGAGCAGTACCTTCAAAGTATTTCAGTACCAAGGACATTTTGTATGCAGGTTAACTTTTAAAAATGATTCCATTACATAGGCTTGAGGCATACATTAAGGATTAAGTCTGTATGTTTGTGTTTAGTTTTGTGTCGTTTTGGCTGTTTCCCTCGTTTCAGTCTCTTGTCCATTTGGCACAACTTGCCTCTCCTGGTATTGTGTTTACTAGGTTTGAGATATATAGACGTGTATAAAAACATGACATGACACAAGCAGGATAAGCTATTTTTGAATTTGCGACCCTGAATTTAGGCATGTAGGATGTGTGCCATATTTTATTCTATCAAAAGTGTTTATTTTTACACCTGACCATACGTTTCTTCTCAGTCTCATAGATTTAAATATCTTCAGATGTATTGTTCAGATGTAAATTACACTTTAAAAACAACTATTTAGTGTTACATTTTGTTTCTAGCCACAATCATTTTCAATTAACGCTATTTAACCATTTCTGTCATAGCCAAAGCATTAAAGACCTCCTGGTTTTGCATAGATTTAACACGAGATTTATAACACAAGATTAGAAGTTAGGTCCTTTATGTTGTATTATGCCCTTTTGAAAGATGAATAAAGAGATACATCTAGTTGAAACATCCTTCTTTGTGTTTGTTGTTTTAATAAATCCTTCAAAAGAAACTTTATTCAACATCCAATTTTAAAGGAAATAATATCAATAATAAAGTGAAAGTCACTAATTGAGTAAAACATTTCCTTAATATATCATAAATAAATATCAGCGGAGACACAATGCGAGATGTGAAATTCATGAAGTATTCAAACCAGCTCTCCTGTAAAATGTAAAATATGTGCTGGAGGTGCATGACTTCGGAATCTGTACCTACACATTATTGGAATAACTATTAAAATATTAAAACAAAAACATGGATGACAATCTTAGTGGGTTGCATATGACAACAGAGTACGTCAGCACAATCATATCTGATCTACAATAGCCAAAACTCTCAACCGTTGATATGATCACAAGTATGATTCATAGCTGCTATTATACACCTGACTCAGAGTCAGGTTGGTCTAGACACCCTTGTCAGATCACACAGAGATTTAGCAACTAATGCAACAATCTGCTCACAAACCAGCCCCTATACCCACAACTGTGGGGTGGCTTTCTTCTCAGTCGCATTGTTCATATCCTGCAGAAACATTTGAGCTCCACAAAGTCAACTTCAGCAGGAATTCCAAGCATCCTGGAGGGTGTCCACTTCATAAATTCCAAGTCATCACTTCTATGCAGCTGTCCTCTCTAACTCCCTCTGTCTGGAAATGTGTAAAGCCAAGGGCTTCGTGCACGGCTCTGCTCAGCAGCGTCAACAGGTCTGCAGCACCTGCCACTCCCCTTGGAAGGAAAAGTTCCAGAGCGCAGGTGGAGGCATAGGGCAGACGCACCCCTGACATGCTTACATCCTGGAAAATGAATTAAACGGAAATTTGACATGAAGATTTATCTCAAGACAGAAAACATATGAAAGCAACCTGGACAATTTGAATCTTCTAAGCAACTGAATACCCAATTGTGTAATTCAATAACCAAAGAGTATTTAATGTTAAATACCATGAAATTTAGCATCTAGAATATTATATTCATATTTTATGTGGTTTGAATTCACTTTTATGAAATTCCAGTCTGTCAGTTTTCAGGGTATATACAGATATCAAAGTAAAATTCAACTCCAACCCCTTTAACTTACTTTAACTGCTTTATTTTACTATAGGCCTACATACTATACAGACTGTAAAAATAAACAGTCTTAGTTTGTGCTAACTTTTATCAACCATTGTATCAAAAACATAATTCAAATAGGCCGGAAGGGAACAAAGCTCATGAGACTAAACTGGATTGGTGTAGCACAGACATTTGCAATAGACCGCTGCCTGCATCCTGAAGATGATTTGTGTAAATATTTATAACAAATGCTGTCGATGTACAACATTTTGGACATTTGGAAAGCTTGCTGTGGCACAGCAAAAAAAGCCCTGCCTTTAACGTTCCGCCCTTTCTAGGCTGTGATTGATCTGTTCACGGAAAGTGAAACTTAGCCGGTGTTCCCGCTGACGGGAGGTACAGGGTGGTAGAACATTACGGTAGTTTCTAGTCTTAACTTGTAAAAAAATTTTCCGGTTCACACGGATCTATTATTAGGTGCATATGAGGATGAAATACTTGCATGGTAGATCCCAGAGCAGGATTCCATAGTTCTATCAAGTTTCTTTGGCTTTAATACATTCAACCACACTTTCAGCATACAGACTCTGTGGACAAACATGGTTTTCACGTTGAAAAAAACTTAATACCATCTTTGAACCCATTGGCTATCATCTGACAAGCTATTAGCTTTTTTAAATGTATCTGCATTCAAATCATCGTCAGACAACAGCTGATTGGTTCTGAAATTGTTTTGTTCTGAATATCCACTGGCTGCACCAGAAGCTCAGAAACATTTGTTATTGCCTTTATTTTTTATGTCTTTTGTCATCCGCTCTGCAAATAAACTATTATTATGTTGTATTACTTGGAATAATTAGGCCATGATTCACTGTTAAAAATAAAAAGGAAAGAATGGTGTGTCATCTGCAACTCCCCTCAGCTCTACAGAGCTGATTGTTTTGCTTTTACAGACCGGACTTTACCGTGTGGGTTCAATTTAGGTTCTCATCAAACTCATATCCAACCGCAGCTGCCCCATTTTAATATCACCTCGATCTATGCTCATCTGAGGATACCAACCTGGGAGTAAAAATGCAGGGAGATCAATCTGGGGAACCCAAGAGGAGGCAGATGATCAGCTCCTGTGACGAAGGCGAGGAGGTCTTCAAAGGAAAAATCTGCCTGGCCATCTGAAAGTTTTGTTAAATGTTTTCATAGGAACCCCGAAACACTCTCATCATCTTAATGTAACTTTAAACTTTTTCCTTTCAGTGCATGCTTTATATTCTTCACTCCCATCCTCCATCCATTCCTCCATTCTTACCGCTGACCAAGGTGAGGGCTGTTTCCCAGTGTCCAGCTGTTGCCTCCTCAGCTGCCCTTGGCTGGCTGTCTGGAGGGCTGTAGCAGATGGTAAAAAGCAGTTTGAACTCTTCCAGAGTCAGAGGCTGCTGCTGTGCGCTCGTCATGATTGGCACAAACACCTCCCAGTTAGACTGTATTGTATCCCACAATCCACCACAGCTGTTCAGTCCCTCGGTGAACTGGGAGATCATACTGGCCACCCTGAAGTACAGACAGTGTTTGGGTTTAAAAAAGGCAGCTGAACTTGCAGCAGCCATTACGAATCAGCAGATTACCTTTTCACAGTACATAAATATAGGAATATTGGAAATAAGGGAACTGCACATAAAAAAATCAGAGGGCAACACATACTCAAAATCTGTGCGTGCGTGCTTGCGTGGGTGTAAGCGTGTGTGCGTTACCTACCTGTGGTAGATGTACTGTTTAACAATGCTGATAAAGATAACTGATGTGTCATCAGAATAGGCTGAATAGATTCCAGGGATGCCACAGCTCGACACCCAGTCACACAGCGTGGGAGATAGCAGCTTGACATCAGTACAACTCTGCAGCTACAAGAGGAGCAGAGAAGCGTTATTTGTGTGTGTGTGTGTGTGTGTATTCATTTTTTCACTTTCACTTTGTTCAATGCTTTAGAAAATAAAGATTACTACTACTACTACTACTACTACTACTACAACTACAACTACTACAACAACAACTACTGTTGCTGCTGTACAGGTAAAATTTTAGGGGCATTTTTGCCCATTTGCCAGGTAAATCTGTCTGTATTTCGCAGAATACCGGGAGTTTTTAAATCTGCTGTCTGTGGTTACATTCCTTCACTGGCGCACCAGAAATTACGCCTTTTACAACAAACAACAGTGATTATTTTGCCTGGGGCAACCCAGAGCCATGTAGAGCTCCATGATCCGCCATTGGAACAACGAAAGGTCCCTTGGAGTGAGAGGTTGTATTTACTGTGTGTGGTGACAGAATTGTATATGTTTTTATTTGATAATTTAAAGTTGTATATTATAGGTTTTTGTTTATAATTTTATATTGAAATCACTAAACAAACTACAATGATATACAGCAGAGTGCATTAAATTAATTAAGCTACCTGAACTAGATTGAAGATAGTTTTTTTTAATTTCATCAGTTCGAAGTACAGACGTATGAAGTTTCTGTGTGTGTGCTACCTGTTTCAGTCGGCTCTGTGTTTCAGCATCAACAATGTCACTCCAGCTAAAGTCCTCCAAAGATGGATTCTGACCACACATCAACTGTGATAATAAAATACAAATGATGAAGACCATACCAATGTGAAAATGTGAACACAGCTGCTAGGCATCATATACAATTTGTTTTCTTCAAAGGCTTTTTGTATCATTCCACACATACATTAACATTTACAGTGATCTACTGTCAAATCATGGGAGTGTATAACCATGCTGTGCATGCTTGCATTAATCATTCATTTATCCACTTAAGTCCAGTGCAACAAGCTTGAAAAACTACATTGACATTTTTGATGTTTTTCACCAAAAACAACTGTGTTTTATCAGTGTATTGTTGTTGTTGGGTGATTTATAATCATCTTTTATAATGTGAGCTCAATACTAAATGCAACTTTTTTCACATTACACATAGTGATTTGATCCATTGTTAATATAAAGTATTGATTAGAACAGCTTTAAACTAAACTAAACTGATTCTTCTAAATTATATATATACACACACACACATATACACACACACACACACACACAAATATAATATAATAATTTGTCAATAGTCCATCGCATTTTTAGTAGTCTAGTAAATGGCCCTTTTAGAACACAATCACTGACTGACTGACAGAAATTAGCACTAGGCATGCAAGTTGGAATCAAAGTAACAACCACAATAAATATCTCAGACAATACCATCACTCAGGTAACGTAAGTATCTACATGAGTGAGGTATGCACACCTGGTAGAGTGCAGGGTGTAGGCAACGGGGTCCAGGCCCGCCGTGAACCAGAGACCAGCCAATCAGAACGCCTGCTTCGTAATACTTCCTGTCTTTATGAGCTGTGAGGTCGAAGCTCAAGTACAGACGCCCTGGAAGACCCTCAAACACAGAACTTTGCTGCAGCTCCAGCAAAGTCAATCTGTGTGAGAAGAAATCAAAAATATCTTTTGTCAGAGATTCACATTTTCTAAGATTATACTGTAATGATCTGGTCTTTTTTTACTCTTAAGTCAGTTATCCAATGAAGGTTAAATTCAAGGGCAACTGGACTTGGTTGAAGATACTGGAAGACGTTTCGTCCCTCATCCAAAGGACTTCTTCAGTTCTTAAGTCAGTTCTGAACAGTGTACTAATAAGTAATTCTGAAAAGCTTAATAAATCCGGGCCCTGGTGTATAGTACTATTATAAAGAATAAATGTGTAAATCCTTTCCAAAACAACTGAAACAATTAGATGATGATCAATCATTCAATCAACAGAAAATGATCTGCCATTATTTTGTCATTGATGAAACACAAATGGTGAACATTTCCTGCTGTACCTATCATTATAAATAATTAATTTATCTCACATTCAAATAGATACGCTCCTTCGGCCCCTCTTTATAATAAATTTAAAGTTCTCCCTATTGATAAGGTAAATATTTATCAAATATGTTTACTTATGCATAAGTTTATATATAGGAAACAAGATCTACCAGATTCTTTCCAGAATTTGTTTATTCCTATCTCACATGTTCATTCATTTCACACTAGACATAGCAATAATAACTTAGTCTTACCAATCACACGAACTACAAGACATCAATTTAATATTTCTTTTAGAGGTCCTAAGCTCTGGAGTGACTTAAGTCCATCGTTGCGATCAATGTCCTCTTATTCAGCTTTTAAAAAGCATTTGAAGAGTTTACTACTGCTAGCTTGATGCCTTTATGTAGTTTTTACTAAACTAAACTAATAAAAATCAATATTCTGGGTTTTGGACTGTTGGTCAGAACACCAGCAGCATTTGAATATGTCACCTTGGGCTCTGGGACATAGGGAGGGAACTTTAAATTTTCTGGCATTTTTATAGACGATAGATGAAATCGATGTTTGTTACAGCCCTAATATATAGTATACAACATTTGTTCTTGACAAAATGTTACCAAGAGGCTAGCTTTTTGTGAAGGTGATAATTTTGCACAGTATTTATCTCTTAAACTATGTAAATGTAAGTATGAAACATATTTATTCATGTTAGATCTCAAGCTAGAAACTGTGTTATTCTGTTTTTATTACTTTAAAAATGCATTCATTCTTAAAGCCTACAGACCAAACTTCCAAACACATGTTTTTAAAATGTGGCAGGAGTATAGAAAACCACAGAATATTGACAGCTCTGTTTATATTTCACAGACAGTGAGGAAGTGTGATTGAATTCACCAATAAAAAAAACAGCATGTGTGCTTCAGGAAAATATGAGGCAAATCATAAGCTAATAACCTGAAGAACTCTCTGAGAGGTCCCTCGTGGCCGTCAGTCTCCTCTCCACTGAAGGAGAAGATGGGTGGTGTCCTGAAACAGAAGCCCGGCCTCCTCACTGCCTTCAGAGCGCTGTGGAGCAGGTCTCTCCTCCTCACCTGGATGTGGGTTTCTACGCCTCGATCCATGTTCTTCTGTCTGAACAGTCTCAGGATGGAGTCCAGGTCGAGTGTGAACTGCACACCACAGAGCCAAGTTTAACAGGTTCAAAAGGGAGCCACAGAGGAAATACTGCCAATGACTGTAGAATTTCTTGGACTATTAAAATATTTTGAAGATTTGGTAAACAAAGTTATTGTGTTTATACTTTTTCCTCGTCTGCTGTGAGTGAAATAAACTCACCTCCTCTGTGGTGCTGCCAGGATAAGATTGGGTCTGTCTACCCAGCTGAATATCTTTGCCCTGGCAGCTCTCTGTGCTGGCCCCCAGACAAAACTCCTCCCTTACAAGAGACAACACACACATTTAGGTAATTCCGTTATATGGTTCAACATTTATAAATTTTAATGTCTCTTTGCAGCTGATGCTTTCTTACCTGCTCACCACAGGTGTTTCACTTGCTGATCTCTCAGATTCTGCCTGTTGAGGGAAGAGTATTTTAACTATATGCACTAATAGCAGAAATATGTAGTTAAATTAATAATATATAATAATTATTAACAATAAAGGAGAACCGAACACTCTCGCATCAATTCATTTTATGATATATAACCACAGCAATGAATCCATATGCGTGCGAACATTCGCATAACATATTAAAGGCAGATGGCATCACAACTTGAATTATGGGTCTACTCTTAGGGAAGCTAATGTATAGCATGTGCAGCATCAATCGGATTCTTTGAGTTGATTAACATCTTTAAATTGTGATGAGGATTTAGAGGAAGATTTCAATGGGAACAAAACAGAACGTAATATGAAAATGGGTCACTCAATATGTTAGAAATGTACTTTTAGGAATCGTAATTGCTGAAAGGTTTACTGCATAGAAAGAAGCTTCCACTAACAAAACTATAATGAAATTAAGCTTAAAAGAGAAACCGAGCGGCTGTAGATTACCTGTGGGTAGTCCTGATGGCTGAGGATGTACAAAGCACCATGTCCAGATATCCTGAACACCTGCTCTCCAGTCCAGCCCTCTGCAGGGGTCTCTGGGACAAACAGCGCCCTGGAGCCCAGCACACACTGTAGACCACACACACCATCAGATATAAATATACCAAAATACGGAAGAATTGGCGGAAAAAACTTGTAATTTGCTACCAGATTCACTTTCAGATTTGATTTGCTTTGTGGCAAGCTAAACTTTATCCTAAATTTAATAATAATTTAAAGCCCAAGTTTGGTGTATTTCTAGACCAAAGAAAGAAAGGAAAAAAACTATATGCTAAAGTCAAAATATCTCTCACAGGGACAGAAATACACTACACATCACGCACCTGTAAATATGTGAAGGAGAATCGTTGTCCTGCCCGTTTTACAAACCGACTCCTGAAGAGCGCCGCCAGCCGACTCTCCATCTGATTGGCTGACCAACTATAGTCAATGGTGATGCGAGCAGACATTCCCATGGCTACTAGAGCTGCCCATTCTTTACCTTGTGGAACAATGTGTCTGGAAAAACAAGACGTTTACTATAATGATTTTTTTATTTTTATTGAATAATAAAATTTCTATACATTTCAGCAATGTTGGATTATGTAATCAGCGGTCACTAGAAACCCTGGTCACAAATGAAAATATGCAAATATGTTGCTGTAATCATTACTTTTGAAATAATACACAAGCTGCTTAACTGAGCTACAATGTGTTTAGCATATGTGAATGGCAATTGATCTCTCTGTTGGATACATTTTTGATCAGTGGTGGCACTAAAAAAAATGGCCACAATGTCCAAATTGGAGAAGGTTCATAAGCTGAGGAGCTTGAAATTCTCAGTACTTTTCCTGGCATTCTGAACATTAGATGTTGACAAAGATGTGACAAGAGCAGAACATTTATATACAGAGAGGAAAGGTCAGAGACAGCAAGGACTATGAATATATTATTTCTAATGGTGGGGCTGTAGAAAATGTCAAAGGGGTCACTAAAAAATATTAAGAAACATCAAATAGAGACCATGAATAGACATGAAATTTCATATCATTCTAATCATTTCAGTCTAGTTCCAACAAGCAAAACAACCCATCACCTCCCACCTCTCCAGCTGTGCCAGACTGTGTCTTCTGGGAAGACAGACCACATCTTTGACCACCAGTCCTGTCTTCTGCGGAGTCACACTCTTCCATTTGAGACGACTAGCTTTGTTGGCGGACAGCTGCAGCACACAGTACAATGTCACACTGAATACAACATGATGGATCCACAAAGCAGAGTGCAGTTTGAGGGCTGGTGAAGCACCCAACACAACACACAAAATGAAGTAAATGAACAGACACAAGTAGATAAATCACATTTACAATGCCCTCACACGTTTTCTCATATTGCAACTGCAATCTTAACTTCAAACAAAAAAACAATGAGGTGCAAATATAGCAGGATATAACTGTTCTAGCATGGAACAAAATATAACATTACCACTACAACAATTAGATGATTAATTAATAACCATTAATCCCAAAAATGTGTATAGTAGGTCCCAGCTTCTCTGAACGCTATGAGCTTGTCTGTATCTTAAATAATTATAAAATGAATAACTTTGGGTTCAAACTGATGCTCAAATAAAACAACCTCTTTGGCTCCGGGAACATGTACCTGTCATTTGTCAAAGTAATCAGTTAAAAATGTAATCATTAAAACAACAGACAACATAATTTTAACAAAACATTCATGTGAAAAATGAGCACAAAACAATAAATCAAACACTAAAACATGCAAAAGCAGCCCATCTTTTAACACTTGTGAGTAGAAAAGTTGAAAATATATCTGTACTTTTTGTATATTTACACACAACTTTGGCCCTTTATTATTGTATCCATTTAGTTGGCCCCTGTGACGTTAAGACTTAGCTATATGATGGCTTTAGGTTGTTTTCTTAACAGCCTGTACAATGCAATACACGCCACACTGACTGGCTGATAGTAGACTGAAACTTTCAACACAGATAAAAGACGGGGAAAGAGATAAGTGTTGATTGATTCAGTCTTTTCCTACGTGCTCAGGATTAGTGCATGACAAAGCTCTGTTTTGACCAATACGCTAAAACTGATATTATATATTATTGAGATGCAAGGAGGCTCAGTGGTTACAGCAATCATCATACAACCAGATAAAATGATTTTCAAACATCACTAGAAGAAACTCACTGATTAGAAAGTTACAAAATAAATCCTGAGGCGACATACCGGAGTCAGGGAAGCATCATCTGACACTGACACTCTGTGGGGAGGAAACACCTGCATGGTAGGAAGGATATCAAACATTTCAACATAGGCTACCTGGAAATGTGTTATCTTAAAAATGTTTTGATAAAATGTAAAGATATCAAACACTAAACAAGACACAACCAGCTGCTTATCAGCAAAGATCATCATTACTCAACTTAAATTTGCAAATTTGCAGGACGCTCTTTGTCACTACAACTATTAATTTATTTACTTACGTCCATTTCTATCTCAGTTTCCTCCATGAATGTTGACATGATAGGGGGGAGGTGCTTGGCCTCTTCCTTGGCTGGAGGCTCTGCTTTGGGCTTGGCCGGTGGCCTGGGTTGGGTTGGAACTTGCAGCTCTGGTTCCTCCTCACAGTCAGGGACCAGAGGATGCTCCAGGTGTCTCTGTGTTCAAGTTTCAACAAAGTTTTTGATTACTGCAAAACCATAAGGTACATCGCCATGGTTACTTTAGTTTCTTGTTTCATTCCTTGTCATGTATTTTGTATTTTTGTACTAAAACATGGTATATATGTCAGGAATCTGTGCTTTCAAAACAACCAGTTGACCCAAATCAAACAAAAAACATTTTCCCCACACAGCCTTTTTGGCCCTTAAAACAAAGGTATGTCTACTTGCAAAACCTGTCACCCATTATGTGTGTCTACCAGGTGGGGCCAGTTCAAACAAAGAGTGTTTTTCCACTTGTTCTATCTGAATATTTTTATCTAGTAATTCAAAAAGACAAAAAGTAAGATTAGTGTATATAATATAATCTTGCTATAATAAAAATATGTTTTTGCTCTTTTCTGATCCTCAATCACCTTTCATGTATGTCTTGTGACCCCCAGGTTGGGATCCACCCTTTTAGAGGTATCTAGTCATTTTGCTTTATATTACTTTAATTTTGATACATTAACAGCTAGGACTTCTGCTGCCACCCCCAAAAATTGAGGTGAGTGGAATTTTGCTATTTGGTGCTCAAAGCACTGAAAAAAATCATAGACCTCATTGTAGACAGTTTTAAGCTGCACAACAAACAAAATAGTATTTACTTTTATTGTGTTAGGGTGGTAGCAAAGGTTTCTCAAACTTGGTCAAGTAAAACAAAAAATATCTGCATTGCTACAAGAAATCTGTATATTTGTGTTAATGAGACTTTCAGTAGTAGGTTTAATCAAAATATAACTTGCTAATGTAACATCAGTTAGCTGCTAACTTGAAGTTTTCAAAACTATCACTCATGTTAACCAGTTACATGAACTTTACTCTTTGTAAAGGAATAGACGTATCAAATCTCACTCCAATCAGAGAGAAATCCATTGTTTATATTTTGGGCGGTTTACCTGCAGAACATGCAATTTGGACTTTCAATGAATTAGGCAAAGGTGTTACTAAACACAAAGACATCAAATAGCAGTCTGAGGATCACAGTTCTTGTAGTTAATTTGCAGCAGAGTTGCAGAAGACACACCTTTTCGAAGCAGTGTTCTTCCTCCTTCTCCTCCTCTGTTGATATTACCACGCAGGTCTCCTCTGAAGAAAACAGCTCCATCTCAATATTTTCTGTGATGGCCAGAAACGCCACCTTCCTCTCGCTCAACTTCATCCTCTCTGATACAACTTAAAACGTTTTATCTCCTGTAATTCTTACTCTGCTTTGTTGCTTGTGTTTTTTCCTAGATTCCTGTCTTATATTTTATAGCCTTGATCTCAGACTTTTGTCCGTCATTATTGTTTTTATGCTTGGTACTGCTTTCTTTTCCCTCTCTAGTCCCCCCCCCCTCCAAAACAGTTGAACCTCCAAGTATTCTTGAGGTAATGGTGGTCTTCATACTCAGCTGAGCGCTCATTACTTCAAGCTGAGGTCTATCAGTGTCTTAAGTTGATTGGCTCAGAGTTAAGCTCTCGGGGTGTGATTGGTTCAATTGACTGTTCTGAAGTTCTCATTGGTTGAGAGGTTTGTGAACTAGCTTTGGTTGGTTCTGCAGTGTCTTCTTGGCTTGTTGTTTCTCAACTGTTGATTGTGTCAGATGCCTCATGTGGGATGGGTATGGAGATTACAGAGGGTCAATTAACAAGATTGTAAAGACAAACACAACTAATGTCATTGATCAACTCTTTATCACACATTCTTTGTGACCTGTATCATCATTAACTTGATCAATGAGTATTTTGTAATTGATCACTTAACACTGTACCAATATTTGTCCACAAAGTAATCTTACAGTTACTAAGTAATTGATTCTAACATAATAAAAACTATTTTATGAATATATTGGCACATTCAGGCTCCATACCCTTTAAAACAGTCTAAAACAACAGACAAGACTTACTAATTGCTAAATTGCTGACTTCAGTAAGAGCCCACATTGCAGATACAACAGTGATAAACTATCTAATCATGTGTTTTCTGGGTCAATCTGAAAAGTGCATCTCATTCCTGTGGTAAAACTGCAGTGACTGAAAAACACCACACACTGAACAATCTGTTATCAGTGTCAGTCAACTGACGCGGCAACATAAGAAACATTTGTCTATCACCAACTTCATCCACTCAAACCAGGAAGAATCTTGATGCCTATTCTGTACCAGCTTACTGTATAGTTCCAGACAATACATTGTCATAGACATGAATGCCACCATGAAACAATCAAGATAAGAAAACGAAACCTGTGAGAAAGAAAGGCTAAAGCAGTCAGTATCAGTTGGCTTACTGATTACAGTTTACTGTGACAGTATGAATTAAACAGAAACAGAAAGGCTGACTGGTATTTATTGAGATATTTATGTTGAATAACTGCTGATACATTAAAATCTTGGTCATTGGTGGTTTATAAAAATATATTTATATATAAAACTTTTCCCCTCAGTGCATGTGTATAGTCCTGTCTATTCATTACCCTCATTTGTTAAGCTTTGATGTCCTTGTTCTTTGATTTTATGTCCATTATTGTGTAAGCACACTGAGAGAAATGAAAAAACTCTGCCACATTCCTTTGATGTGGATGCAAACTTGGCCAATCAAGCGGATTGTGATTCTTTTTACATTCAGCAGCTCTGAAATTATGTCTTTAATTACTTGTGTGAAGTAGAGTAGAACATGAATCTCTGAAGTTTGTTTCTTTTCTTTAACTACAGACATTTGCATACTTTGAATCAAACAATATTGAGGGTAGATATCGGGATATGAACTCAACAGCTCTAAAGTGCTGTGTAAACTGACTTCCGGGTTTTAGTACCAAAAATTTAAATAAATAAAAATAATTTCTCATAGTAGCTAAACTTTTTTAATCACCACATTCAGTATGGACCACATTTAGAAATGTCTCTGCAGCTGTGGCAGCAAGAGATACTGATAGGTTATATAACTTATTTTTAACATATTTAAAAATGTTTGCACATTACATTATGAATGGCAAACAAAGAAATGCAAAGCAATTTCCAGGTACAAACAACACACTACAAATTCAGGAAAAAAAGAAGCATATTGGATATATAGGCTGGACTGTGTGGCTCCCAGGAACATGAACTTGTACTGAACTCTTTATCAGCTAAAAAACAGAGAATACATCCACAGAGTGACTGCCTAAATGTTCAGTTTAATTGCTTACTACTCAAAAGTGGGTAGAGTATAGTGCCATCATATAACATGCTAAACCTGTACATGATTGTCGGAGGACAAACAAAGTGCTAGTCATAGCTTAGAGATTTTAGAATCAGGATTATGTTTTGAATGTTGCAAGGTTGAATCATCCTCAAACCCTATTGTTGAGTGTCCTTTGAACAAATTACTGAACCGCCAACTGCTCCGATGCCACAGTTCAAATGCCAACAGAAGATTGCATTTGTTGTATAAATCAGTTTGGACAGAAGACTAACACGTTTGTCTTTGTCTATTCAAGTATACACTGCGCGCGTGTGTGCGTCAGGCCAGCAGGTGTCTCTGGGTACATGTCAACAGGTGAGGCAGGAAATATGCGGCGGTACCATCGTCAGGTATCAGTTCCAAGAACTCTGCAGGGCTCGTCTCTGTTGCAACCACAATCAGCGTCTCTGTTGACATGGAAACAAGAAAACACAATAAACGCAGGCAAGCGTCAACATCATAGCTGATCTCACTTTCTCACAATTTCTTTGATGTTTCTACTTTTATTCTATTCTTAATACAAAATGTCAGCCCTTGGTGTGAGAGAGGGTCAGTCCAGTTACTCTAAATTCAGAATTTTACAGATGTCCAAAGGTTCCCTATGCATTTCCACACTAGCCCATCGCCTTACTTTATTTTTTTACTAGCTATGACTTTCCTGATTCAGACATTAAACACTTTTTTGCACTTTGCTTCACACATATTGTTTACTGCTGTACTTCCTTTAAAATGTCATATTATACTTGATTGTATGTATTCTTAGCTTTTTGTACTTTTTTATTATTGTTATTATTACTACTATCATTACTTATTTTATATTAACTAGTAACTAGTACCACTGAGTGTTATCGTCTCTGCTGCATGGCTTACATGTCTAGGATGTGATATTACCATTACCAACTTTCAAACTATTTCTATTATCATCTATCAAGTTCTATTAATATCATTGGTAACATTGTGCTTTATCTATGTCATTACATTTACATTTCATTTCATTTACTTGGAGCAACTAGGGGTTAAGTTTCTTGCTCAGGGACACATTGCTGCACGTGTCACAGTGGGGAGTTGAACCCAGATCTCTCACACCAAAGGCATGCGTCTTATCCATTGATGTGTAAAATCGGTTGTTGCCCGTTATAGTATTGTTCATTTGTGCCCTGTTGCTTTGCATTTCTACATATAATGGATTTCTAAGATTTGTACTTTTTTATGTATTGAACAAATCCATTATATTTCCTGTAAATACAATTTACTAGCATGAAGGTCCAAATGCTGTTCCAAACCCTCTCCGTAATGCCAGGAATACAAGTGAAGTAAGAAAATAGTGAATACTTGTAATTATTATGCGTTTTGTTGGCTTAAAAGTAGTCAAATATAAATACACCATACCTAAAATGATTACGCTGATATAGATTCCATAGGCTATAGGCTGCTCCAATACAGAGGAAAATCATGAACGGCCCTAATTTAGTTTCCTGACTTTGTTACTGCTTGCAGTCAAAGAAGCCAAATTGGCACTCTGGCCAGGTAATTGTGAGATGGCCCTTTAAAAAAAGTATTTCAAGTGATCGTGTGGCCTTGTATGCACTGTGGTACTTCTGACAGACAGACGGTGTTTTGAGAAAAGCTTCTACCTTTGAGAGCAGCCAATAGGATGCTGTTGTCTGCGGCAGCTCTCGTCCTATTACAAAGCTCTGGGAGCAGCTTCTGCCACCATAATACCTACAGAGATTAGACAAGACAGAGAGTGACAGCTTAAAAAATATACTAAAAATACAGACATGCTCAGTGCTTGAAGTGGGCCGGTACTCATCTGTATGCAGTATCTACTCTACTCTTCCTTTCCTTCTTGTCTCCGCTGGTTGAGACAGAGACAGAGAGTTTACGCCCTACAACAAACAAAACGTTGATCTCATTGTTCTGCATGAGTGATTATCATTCTTGATGAGTTAGAACGAGTTGGACCAGACTAACTATTCAGTTTATGTAATGAAAACAACCTACAAAAACGAAAGTGCTGTAACTGTAATTTTTATTTGTTAGAATTGTATTTAAATTTGTTGTTCCTTCATGCCACACACACACACACACACACACACACACACACAGGCCTATATTAAAATGGTTCAAATTAATTGTAAAGTATATTACAATAACATTTAAGGTTTTATTTAATGTTATAATATTATACTAATTTATACTAGTAACTCCTCCAGGTCGTGGATAGTGCATCTGCTGTGGACAAATGTAGATTTAGCCAGAGCCAGGAGGCCATTGTGCCAATATGTGCTCCTTGTAGACGCATCCTTCTGAGAGCAACACGTTCCTCTTGTTCTAGCTCTCTTAATGTTATTGTGGTGATATAAATAGTATGGGTAAGTCTGTGTGAGAGTGTGTACGCACTTCATGCACTGGACATGCTACAGAGTGAGGGCACAGTAAGAAGCCTACACCCTTCTGCTACTGCTCAGTACAGACCATATTTTTGTCTTGTAACTGATGATTGGCGTAGGCTATGATGGCCTGAGGACATCGGTCCAGCAGCTTTTCAATGCTGCTGTCGTACTGCCCGCTTCTGGTGGCACAGAGGAGGTGCAGGCTGAAGCCCCATAAGGTTTCCTCAGACAGACGCTCCATCAGAGGCAGGATGGAGCCCACAGACAGGGACGGACCACACAGGAGAGACTGGAGACAGGAATATTATTGTATATTTTAAAGGAATTATTAACATTAAAAATCACAGGACAAAAATAAGAATGAAAGGGAAATAATGAGAGAAGAAATAACATCATTTTTGTCAAAGTTTAATTAATGAGAAAAAAGGCACATCTGTGCTCAATTCAATACATTCTGGGCTTTTGCTGTCACAGCCGCAGCTACTCTTGAATGACTAGCTTATGGTGCCGAACGTTAGCTAATGTTAATAAACTCTGAACATATAGTGCTGTGTAAGTGTAACTACGTCAGTTCGCTAACCTTTTACATCCTTTTTTAAAGATACTAAAGCGCTATGTTCAAGTAGCCCCACAATATCTTTCCATATTTGATTTCTATTTTTATTAAAATTTTTCAATAATTTCAAAACAGCTTTATGTCCCTGAATGTCACATCCCCAAATCCAAGATAAAAGTACTAAGGACATGATGAGACAAAAAGTGTGTACACCTCTAAGATAAAATGTTCAAATTGGGCCTAAAGTGTCAATATTTTGTGTTGCCGCCATTATTTTCCAGCACAGCCTTAACCCTCTTCGGCATGGAGTGTTTGGGGTTGTTATCATGTTGGAATACTGCCCTGCAGCCCAGTCTCTGAAGGGAGGGGATCATGCTCTGCTTAAGTATGTCACAGTACATGTCAGCATTCATGGTTCCCTCAATGAACTGTAGCCCCAGACCATGACCCTCCCACCACCATGCTTGACTGTAGGCAAGACACACTTGTCTTTGTACTCCTCACCTGGTTGCCGCCACACACGCTTGACACCATCTGAACTAAACAGGAAGAGGCTTCCTTCTGGGATGACAGCCATGCAGACCAATTTGATGCAGTGTGCGGCGTATGGTCTGAGTACTGACAGGCTGACCCCCCCCCCACCCCTTCAACCTCTGCAGCAATGCTGGCAGCACTCATTTCCCAAAGACAATCTCTGGATATGACGCTGCACTCAACTTCTATGGTCGACCATGGCGAGGCCTGTTCTGAGTGGAACCTGTCCTGTTGAACCGCAGTATGGTCTTGGCCACCGTGCTGCAGCTTAGTTTCAGGATCTTGCTAGTCTTCTTACAGCCTTGGCCATCTTTATGTAGAGCAACAATTCTTTTTTGTAAGACCCTTAGATTGTTCTTTGCCATGTTGAACTTCCAGTGACCAGTATGAGGGAGTGTGAGAGTGATAACACCAAATTTAACACACTTGCTCCCCATTCACACCTGAGACCTTGTAACCCTAACAAGTCACATGACCAGGGAGAGAAAATGGCTAATTGGTCCCAATTTGGACAATTTCACTTTGGGGTGTACTCACTTTTGTTGCCAGCGGTTTAGACATTAATGGCTGGGTGATGTGTTATTTTGAGGGGACAGCAAATTTACACTGTTATACAAGCAGTACACTCACTACTTTACATTGTAGCAAAGTGCAATTCTACAGTGTTTCTACAGATATAATCAAATATTTACAATAATGTGAGGGGTGTACTCACTTTTGTGAGATACTATACATACCACATACATAGAAATGCTGGTTCCATTTACAGCTGTTTTATTTCCTACAGCTAAATGTGGCTCTTAATTCCAGATACTTACTGAGGAAAATGTATTTGTGCCACCTAGAAGCAGGCATATTTTGTCATTTCATTTACCTGCAGTTTATGAAGCGCCTCCTGGTGTTGGAAACTGGTAGTGTGAACTGGACTGAGAACTGTAAGCCATGGGTACAGAGCACCGTAATGGGAGCACGAGTTGATCTGAAACATACACAAATATATGTGGCCTCTTAGTATATGAGAGTGATGTCCATGTGATTTCCTGATTTCTGAATATGACACTATTTATACAAATAGCACAATTGTTTTGGCAACCAATTAAGATGGTGACCAAATATCACAAGTTCAACAGAAAATGTCTTAAAAATGTGGCATTTGAATTTAACAGCTCTCTACCAAACAAACAGAACAGCAGTCATTTTCAGCTACTGTACCAGGTCCTCAGCGCTCTTCAGCGACCTGCGTCTTGAAGTTGTATGTTGAAGGTTGGGGTGTGGATCTGAGTTTGTGTTCATCAGCCGGTCGATGTAGACAGACGTCAGTCGGAACAGAAGTTCCTGGATGACAGCTTCCTGTGAGGAGGCCATGAGCATCGCCTCCCAGAAATCCACCAGTAAGCAATTCTCATAGCCCAGTTCCTAGACACACACACACACACACATTTATATTGCTGCTCTTTTTGGTAGTTTCTGGGTAGGAATGTTCAAAATAGAAAAAAAAAAGGCACCATGTTTTAAAGCAGCTTGTAAGCTATAATTTTGCATAAATTCAAAGTCGCAACAGGTAATGTGAGAAATTAATAAGATGATTTTCCTCCAAGGCTCCTAGCTGTGAACCCGACACACACACACACACACACACCTTGAATATGTAATCAGCCTGTTCCAGCTGAACTTTGTTGTTTTCATGTAAAGCCACCATGGCAGCGACCAGCAGTCCTGGTTGGGACTTTGCCATCTGGCGAGTCAGTGCTGTGGGACGGATGTGTGTGTGCTGGCCTCCACCTCCACCATGCAGCAACAGCTTCGACTCCTCGATGAACCCGTACACCAGCAGCATCTGAACACACACACACACACACACAGACAGTCCTCAGGTTCATCTTTCTACAATTCAGGTTCCCAATTATGGATTCATCTGCCCGTAGGTATAACTCTATATATATCAATTTTCCGTTTCATTTGAACAATTTTTTTGCCAGGTTGTCCCTCCACAATCAATCAGTTTTTATTCATATACACCTAGTACATGTTTATTGTTATAGTATGTAAATGATGTATTAGAAAAACTAGATATCAAGTTGACTGATCTTTTGACAGGTACAGTAGAATAACAAACATTACTTGGTCATCTAGTTAAAAGATACTAAATGTTAATGTGCTTTGATAGCAAGTATGTATTATTGGATTACAGAGACAGACTGTTCATTTAAATGCATACTGTTACAGAGTAAAGTACAGATTTCAGTTTCTTCATAATTACATAGCATCCCTAAACACAGACACAGACACAGACAGAGACACACACAGACACACACACACACACACACACCCATCCCCATCCCCTCTAACCTCAGCATGTCTTTCCATCAGCTGTGTGTACTGTGGCAGGTCGTCCAAAAGCAGCATCATAGTTGCCATAGTGATTGTCAGTGGAACCGATACACCAGCTGTGTCCTCCAGATGTTGTAAGATTCGCAGCGTCCGGGCAGGACTTAGGTTAATCATGGACGGGCTGGCACACACACTGACAAGCTGCGAGGGCTCTGATTGGCTAAAAATGTCTATGACCTGATCAGCTGCTTCCTGCAGAAAGAGAATTCTTTCATTTGACTTTTCCTTAAGTTTCCTTGTATATTAATCATCTTATTTTGGACACCGGGTGGTCCCAGTGTTTAGTGTACAGCCTGTATATAAAGATGTACACTATGACAACATCTCTACTGCTCAAACTCTGGCTCTAAGTGATGTCAATAGTGCAAGATGGCAGCGCCCATGTACGGGATATTTTGGCTTCTGATTAACTGATGAACTTATATAAAAATTACACAGTGGCTGGGATATAACCTATAAATTGTAAAATAAACATGTAGTCATGTAAGCTAAGACATTAACATCGAAGGTTGGCCGTATTCAGAGATAATTTAGTTGCTATCTAAGATAAAGTGCACAGAAGCAGATAGAGAATGATAGCTTTAAGTTGATGGATTTGTTCCACGTTGTAATGCTACAGGGTAATGTAATAACAACTTATTCAATATGTCACCTTCAAAACAAATCTCAAAATACCTGGCTGTAAAAGTCTCCCATCACAAGTACAATGCAAGCAGCATGTGAAGGTTTATTCTTTTTTTAATGTTTGTGTGTACCTGACTGAGGCTCTGCTCCGTTTCTTCTAAAAGGTAATGCACCAGGTAAAACAGGAAGCCGGGGCCGTAAGAGTGAGGGCTGCTGGGAAGAGGGTGGTTCCTGGCCATGACCTCTGTGACTGACAGACCCGACATTCTGTAGTACGGCAAAGCCAGGTGGCAGTCCTTCTGACTGCCCCTAACAGAACAGACAACAATAAAGAATTAGTGCTGAAACAACTTTTAGCTTAACTCTTATAACCTAAATTAATTTTAAGGGGTGTGTACAGAGATTAAAACCTTATTAAGGTGTTTCTAAAGCTGATTTAAGTGTGTTTTACCTGCTGAAACTATCTCCCAGCTGTGCACAGTTCTGCCTGAGTGCCTCCTCCAGTTCTTGACTGTCTGTCTGTGCAGCTGTCTGTTTCTCAGCCGGTTTGTCCGCATTTGTCTGCAGAGAAACGTCAGGGTCGTCCTCAGTGTTCTCTTGCTCTGATGTTCGGAGTAAGGAGGCACGGAGGAGGAGGTGAGCTTCACTGAGGAGGTGACGAAGGCTTTGGCCTTGTGGGTTGGTCTCTGCATACCGCTGGCTGTATTCAACCTGATATACACACAGACACACAAGGGAGTGTACAGACAGATAAACATACAGTTTACGTGTCTTTTCTGTGTGTAATCGAGTCCTGAAACCTTATTTTAAGTTAAAAACAAAATTACATAAAAAATGTTCTCTCATTTTAGAAAACATCTAAAACAAAAGTATTTGTCATGGAAAGAAGTTAATCTTGCTACATTGAAAAAAGTTTTATGAGATAAAACTTTAAGGAATCAATTACAAAGTGTCTTGATACAGTGATATGTGCCATTAATCAGTTTTATGCTTGTTAAACCCTTGATTTTTGTTCTGGTGTTATTTATTTAGTCTTTCATAATTGTCATTAATAATTTGCATACTGAATAAATGTACAAAGTAGTACACAAACACAAGATCAGACATTCAGCTTGAGCGGTTTGTTTTTGTTAACGAATAGTTGGAGTGATCATGTCTGTGTTACCATCTCTTGGTAAAGAGCGAGGGGGGAGACGGTGTCGACCACATAGATGTTCCATCCATGTCCTGTTGAACTGGTTTCTCTGACAGAAGAGATTGTCCATTTCCTGCTCCTGAGGTCAGAGGTCAACACAGAGGGGTAACAAAAAGTTTACTCAAACAGAGTTACGAGTTAAATCCAATAAATGTTTTTAAATGTAGAGTAGATGTTCTGAAATGTTTGAATCTCAAAATCTGCTGTTCAAAGTGAATTTTTGGAATCACTGATGACACACAAAAGGACAATGAGTGAAAATATAAATGTGGGTTGGATGCCACGCATCAATGTGTTGGCCCCAGTCTGGACTGGAGTCTTGAAACTGGGATTCGGTGTGATATATCTCCTATTGAAATTTAGAAAATAATGGCCTAAGGACTCCTAGAAATATCAACCAGAACTGTTGTTCTTCTCTGCAGTTTCTTTACCATCCATCCATCCATTGTCAACCACTTATCCTGTGTACAGGGTTGCGGGGGCTGGAGCCTATCCCAGCTGACATTGGGCGAAAGGCGGGGTACACCCTGGACAGGTCACCAGTCTATCGCAGAGTTTCTTTACCATAATTGTTTTAAATAATTTTTGGTTCCTTTTGTTTGGAGAGGTTTTCAATATATATATATTTTTTTTCTGTGACTACAATCAAGACATCTACAAACAGAATACTGACCGGTACATGACAGGTTTTCCTTACATTAAGTTGAAAAATTAAGTGTGTCATGACATTGATTGTACACTGTGATCATGGATGCTACTAGTATCTACATCATATACACCAATAGTACTCCCAGTATAGAACAACCTCTTGGATATTGTGATATATTATACATCATGTTAACATGGTGTGATGGTCCCAAAGTACAATGTATTTGTGTGTATGTTTATGGTTATGTTCTGCAATAGATTGCATGGTAAGGGGTTTGTGCATGACAGGGATTTATAACTCTGAAATACTACTAAATTGCTGCTCTGTCTCTGCCTTTATTGCCTGTCGCCATATTTGAGGATGCTACTTAAAATCCTTTTGTTTTTTTTAAAGGTTCAAGTTGTAAGATTTAGTGCTATGTAGTGGCGAGGGTTGCGAATAGCAACCATTTTCCAGTCTACCACTGCCCCCTAACCTTTAAAAGAGCGTAGGCTACGGTGGCTGACAACAGCACAAAAGGTATCTCTTCTGAGACAGCAGAGAGTAGCCAGTAAAGAAATGAGGGTTCTTTAGGTATATTTATTAAGAAATTATATTTACTTAATTATTCAGTAAAACCATATGTTATTGTGACTTGGCTGCTGACAGATAACATGGAAAATGTAAGCCAAGAGTATGAAACACTGTCACTGTTTCTGCACCACAGTCCATTATAAACCACACATTAGATAAAGTTTATTCAAACACTGACAAGGGAAACACATTCATTCTCTCTGTGAATATGGACCATCACCAAAACTGCCCGCCAACATTAATATCTGACCCGCTGCCAGATTATGGTGCTTTGATTGTGGCAAAAAAATATAAATAAATAAATACTTTGATAGCGGTGCTGAAACAGATCTTAGTCATGGCAGCAACTGCTACTCATATAATCACTTCTTCTTTAGTGGTTTTGCCTACAAAATAAAAGTGCAGGAAGCTTGTTAACTGTAATGTGGTATTTGGACTTGAACTGAGCTTTTATTTTGAAAAGTTCTGAACAACATTTAAAAAAAAGAGTCTGTAGCCTGCTTGACACACCTCTGAAAGAGCCGTCAGAAAATCTGACTCCTCTAAATGTCCTCTGCGTGGAGATACTGGGGAACTGGAAAATGGTCCGTAGGTTGATGGATGCGGATAAAAACACAGAAACAAATGCAGTGTAGCACATGCCGTGATCTGAGAAACATTCGCTGCAGAATCCATTTGTTGAAGAGAGAAAAAAATTTGTCTTGCAGTGAGATCGAACCCCCCCCACTCTTAGGTTGCAAGACCTGCGTGAGTCAATCTTATGGCTTATATTCTCATCTACCATCTAATGGTTAAAAATATTGTTCCAATTCAAAACTTATTTGCAGACCCCTGCTGTATATTATTTCTACTTCTTCTTCTTCTAATGTACATATCAACATAGTGATAAAGTGTCTGCACTGCCTGAATTCTACCAGAAGTAGAACAAGAAGAACGTAGTGACGAAACGCGCCCTGTAGTGCTGTTTTTCCGTTTTCAGCTGCTGTAGAAACATGACGATGCAGCGTGGCGACGTCCATGGAAGGGGGTGCTCGCGGTTATGGAGATATTTGGCTCATTCTGAGGTAATAAAAACATAATGTTTTATTATGTGAGATCTTTACACACCACTGAAAACAGTTATGGATCTTATATTGCATTTCAGTTGATAGATCCTCAGAAATATTACACACTGAACCTTTAAGGTGTTGAATCTACAACTACAGGTGTGCGCAACATTGCATCAATGTTACACACACAAAAACATATTGAAATGCAAGTGTTACTAAAAAAACAGGAACCTGTCCAGTAAAGTAGGATTATTTAGTTAGATGAGTAAAATCCAAAACTTTTTATTTCAGTTCAAACGTGATTAGTTTGTGAGCAAAACGTCACACACACTGGGAGCAGTTAGGCAGGTTATGGTTGGATAAGTTTAGGAACTACAACAGGAAATGTTGTCACTTTTAGACCAAGCCATGTTTTAGGGCCTCAGAGCTTAATTATTAAGTTTTGTACAGGAGGTAAAGCCATAACTGCTAAGGGTTTGGTAACAAAATGGGTACACTTATTTTACACTTTTTTTTTTTATTATAAATATTTTATTTATATAGTGCTAAATCATAACAGAAATTGCACTTTTTATATAGAGCAAGTCTAGACCTTACTCTTTGTAATATTATTTAACTAACAATTCCCACCATGAGCAAGCGACAGTGGGAAAGAAATAAAATTATACAATAAAAGATAAATAAAGGGGCTTGAAATATGAAGAATCAGTGCTTAAAATGTTTCTTGAATGAAAAGAATTTACTTTTCTTGGCAGGAAAATATTTTGCTACTGTCAAATGTAATCTTGAAATAAAATACTTTTTGTTGGCAGTTTTTCAATAACTGTGTAAATATTGATGTAGTTTGCCATTCCTTATATACCTGATATACTGTATATCAATGATCATGTGTATTCTAAATACTTGATTAGCACCATCAATGTTAATCCAAAATCAGCTTCATAATTTCAGAGTTTAAGTCTGAATTTATCATAAATGTTTAACTTCTTATTCAATATAATTAAGTGAGCATCTAATAATTTTTTTTTAATATAGGGCTCCTCACAGGGGAAATTCTGTTTCTATTTTTGCTGAACAGTCAAAGAAAAAAATGTTCTATTACCTTTCTTTTTAAAAAATAAAGTACTACCTTTACTTCCTTTATCAACATGGTTAGACTGAGGCAGAGATACCTTGACATGTTGAACCTTCTTCACAAGGTATTTATCATCACAATACTCAAGTTAAGGCTGATTACCTTTTAGCTAGCAGTTAGCAATATTAGTTCCAAATGCAAAAAACAGAAACTTTAATGGAAGCTGAGAGAGAAGACACATTTGTGACATTAAAAAGTGAAAGAGAATCCAAACAGTCAAGTTTCCCTTTCAAATAAGGGCTAATCTAATGATTCGGTTAACACTCATCTGCTAATGTGAGTATTTTGAGTGTTTCTGGTGTTGCAGCTTGGCCTGGAAGTGACAACAGACACTGACGGGGGTGGATGGGTTTTGTCTTACAGGAAGGGGCGTGATAGAAGGCTCTCCAGAGCTGGGGTGGTTGCGGGATCGATTCCCACCGCCAGGAAAATACCAGTCAGCATGGTGTGTTCTTTCAACTCGCTAAAATAACAACACACACATACAGTAAACAGGTTTATGATGCATGTATGCACACACACACACACACACACACACACACACACACACACACACACACACACACACACACACGCTGAGAAACCCCTCTTTAGAGTATTCTGGTACCCGCAGGGAGGTATCTGAGGACATATCTGATGAAGCTTCTAAAACTAAAACACCATCATAGCCATGTGTGTTTCTGTATGGGTGTGTGTTTAACTCAGTGTATTGTTTGTGTGCGTGAGTGTGTGTATGAATGTGACTTACAGGCCTCTGCGGTGTGTGTTGCGTTCGGTCTCCTCTGGTGTCTCTGTGTCAGCGGTGGAGAGCAGGACAACATGGCGGCCGTAGACGCACACTGACCGCAGACCAATAAACAACTGCATCCTGAGCGCACATACCTCCAGGCTGCAGGGCGGGCAGGCCTACAAACACACACACACACACACACACACACACGCGCGCACGATTATTTAAGGATACAGATGTGCTGATAAACAGAGACAAAGCCACTGACCACAAGCAAGGGCACTCGCAAATATAGACAAATATTTAAATATATCTTCTAGTGTAAATAAATACCATATATTAGTACGCTCAACACCATAAACCCAAAAAGCAAGGTTTTAAGATTAGGCTGATACCTTCATGGTGGTATCGATGTAGGGGTCTTCAATCCTGGCTGCTACTGCTGCACAGCGCACAGTGAAACACTGCAATGCACTCCTACCGGGAACGCACAGAAATCTAGTAACAAACTCACTTGTATGCCAAACAGAAATCTTCAGACCAGAGTAATAAACATGCTCCATCTTAAGTCACTTAGTCCTGTACAAAGACTTTGAATGAAGGTGAAGCATTCAGTTTCGGTTTCAAAAGACTAAATGTTAGTTAAATGATTCGTCAAGACTGTTGCTTTTTTTTTTTTAAACAATGTGAGAATGATGTGTGGATTTGTCATATCAAGTGTTCTAATTGAAAGCGGTGATTCAAAGAAGATGAAATGATTTTCATAACAAATCAGACGGCAGACATACTTTGTGATGACATGCAACAGGTGGTCTGTCAGCACCGCCTCCAGGACCTTCTCTGGATACTGGTAGGCTGAGAGAAGCTCGACACCACCCTTCAGACTGTACAGGTAGCCGACAGTGGGGAGAGAGAAGAAGCAGAACACACATGCTGGTTCTTCCAGAGAAACTGACTGTTTACCTGGAGAGAGAAAGACAGAAGCAGAAACAATGTTTGACAAAAAAATCTTACTGTAATGTTGACTCTCAAAAGAGCTTTCAACAGCATAACAGAGTTTTGTAAACAATATTGTGGTCACCAAATAATGTATACTCACAGACATCATGACAATCATGTAAAACCCTCACACAATTACTAAAAAGCCCAGTATTCACTTACATATATAATCTTATTTAATCAGTGAAAGAATATGACATAATTTCATCATTTTCCAAAACTGACAAACTTTCACTTAAAGAGTAGAAGCTCAATTTGATGAGATAAGATGGTGACAATTACTTTTTTGAAAAAGAAGGGAAACTGCTCTGATAATGTGTAAAACAACTCTCAGTCAACTAAACAAATTAGATCTTGAATGTAAAATGTAAAATGAGCTGCAGTGAATGTTATGCAGGGCTTTGCTTCAACGGGGTAGGCAGCAGAATAGTAGGGTTAAATTAAAGTATAACTGACTTGAATATATAAATGGTATATGCTGCTTTTATAGTGACACCCTTTATTTCGATGTGTCGGTCTACATGTGTCTCTGTATCTCATCCTGTATACTGTACTGACTAGTGAACAGAGGGTAGAGCTGTAGGGAGTGGAGTTGAGTCTCCTGCACACTGCAGCCCTGGGAGAAATCTGGAGTAAAACGCCTGCAAAAGAGAAATTAATCGTCAAATACACCTCACATAGCAAAAATACACTCCCTGTAAAGATCTAAAGGTCCAACTGGGTCGCAGAAATACAAGCACACACCTGAAGAGAACGTATGACAGTGTGTACTGTCCTCTGTCCTCCAGTCCGGTCTTTTCAATGCTGACAAGGATGTTACAGTCTTTAGCTCGATCACCGAGCAACTCTTGGTGTCTCGGGAGGAACAGAAAGTCAGACTGATCTTCTAGATGATCTTCTGCACAGACACACAAATACATAAACACACATCACATATGTTTCTCTTATGCGGTCCACCAAACTAAAGCTTGATGAAAATATATAAATACATATCCAACAGCTTTTTGCAAACTTGATTAGCTTAAAGATCCACAGACGCGAAGACATAAAAATACCCTTCTTGGAATAATAATTACTCCCTCATTGAAAAACATCTATCAATATACTATTCTTGTTCATTTCAAAAGTTTAACTGCAGGAATTTCCTTAGTCTTTACAGAAAAGTCTATTCTCAATGTATGTGCAATGGGGTTTTTAAGTTTTCACATCAAAGCATACTAGAATATGATTGGCTTCCAAACTACTTGTAATGTCACAAAATCATGCTCATACAAACATCCATCCTATAGATACATTTTGAGATACAGATGTGATACAGAGTTCAAAGATTTTTGCCACAAGACATTATGGTCTCAGTAGCTAATTTCATCATATGTGTCTCATGGTGGCAATTTTGAGAATCATTATGATGAAATTTGTTTTGGGGTGCCTTTGGTTGATTGAGAAGTGTTTTAGCCAATCACATTCAGCAGTGATGACCTCAGCAACAATGAGGCCTCGTCCCTTTGCCCCAAAATTGGATTTTAGACCAAGCCAAAAAACTGCTACCAGTGGTAAACCCAAAACGTAGATTTTAGAAGCTTAAACATTTTTTGTCATTGATGGAACAACCATATGTTTTTTTACAGTCTGTTAACTGAACATAACAAAAAACCATTATTTGTGTCCGATTCTTCCAGAGTTTTAGGTTCAGATGATGCATCCAGTTTCAGTACGAGCACCTCCAGCTCTCCCCGCACTGCCACATATCCTCCACACAGCGCCACCTAGGGGGGCAGAGAAGGCGTTAGAGTAACAAAAGCCACAGACTGTCAATTTAGGTAGTGTGAACTTTGGAAATACCTACACCAAATCAGACGTGAATCTTCTGTTTGTGAAATTATCAAGAACTATTTAGGATTTTCTATTTATGTGTCCCGGGCATTGTTCATAGTAAAAACCAGTAAACCAGTAAAAAGGAGTGTTATTTACTTGTGTGATTGTATAGCGGATAAATAGACTACGAGGAAAAGAAAAATGTTTAGAAGTACCTGTTTCGGTTTGATTTTTGGAAGATGCAGGATAACTGAGCGTTCAAAATCCAGGATAGAAAGATTCTGGTTCGAAATTGAGGTCTGACCTAATTGCAAGGAGGAAACCATGGAAGAGTCAGCAAAGCAGACGTGTTTTCCTTCATCACAGCCCATTACCTCCTTCCAAACTAGTCATGTAGTAAATAATTTGTTTACAAGCACATTTGGCCCTTTAAAGGTTAGTAAAAAAACAACAATGATCACATAATGACTGAATTACAGAGATAACTCATTTTGTTGGTGTAACCTCATGGACACTATTTTCTAAGTGAGGACTGTTTTTTCATTTCTTGTTTTGGGGATTGTAACTGGAATATTTCACTCCAGTTTACACATTACTGACTATATATATATATATTTGTTTAGTCACAGAATGAGTCTTTGCCTGATGATGTGTTCACAGCAAGTGTTACTGTCCTTACCTTGACTCTGACTGGAGGTCTGCTGAGTGTTCGGCCCCATGCTCGGAAGGTTCTGCTGATTCTGCAGTTTTTTCCAGAGAAAGAAACATTATGCTACTGCAACATTTAGTGTATCAATAAGAGTCCACTTTGTTTAGAGTCGGTAACTGACAATGACAAAAACAGATAAACCTGATGATGAAATACGACTTCTAATAATGTACCGTATTTGATATTTGAACACTTTTGTCTTAATACTTTAAGTCTTATTGACCAAATACAATAAACATTTTAATGTTGTGGAAAACGGTCACTTCCTGGGAAACAGTGAAACTCAAATGGTGACCTTATCCTGCACTTGTATGTCTATACATACAGAATAATCTAACCTTAAGATAATTCATATAAACAGTCCACAGAGGAGGTAAACTCATGGATTAGCAGGTGGGTTCTTACCAGGCTTTGCTGGTTCTGTCTCCTCAAAGTAAACAGAATCAGAGTGTTCTCGCAGCCGACCAGAAGGTCTCCTGTTACAGAGCAACACGCAACAGCAACAGGTCGCTCTGAGAGAGGCATCTCAATGATCTCCATCTGCACTCCACCCCGCATAGACGCCCCACGCAGCAGGTGGCCCAACAAACGCACCCCGACACGGGCCTTCTCCTCCGCCTGAATAGGAAGCACAACATAACTACATAAAAATAATGAATGAATGATAAGTAAAGAAGTCAAAGAGGTGAAAAACTAAGCTTCATCCTCAGACAGACAGTCAAAGATGATCATCCAAGAGGTGGAAGGATTGACATCAAACTGCTCATGAGTCTGACAGTCTGTCAGACTCATGAGCTTGAAAAAGTATTTTTAAGAGCTCATTTGTCTTGGGCACATTTCCACACACACACATTAGAGGACCAATTCAAACCAGGTTTAATGTTAATGGCACTATGGAGTACCAGACTGTTTGTTAAATAAAAGCTGCTATTTGTTTCTATTCTATTCCCTAGCTTAGATGACATTAAAGCAATATTTTGGTTTAAATTAAGATCACAAATCTTTATCTCAAATCATTTCAAAAACAGAGGGCAGAACAGAGTGTAGTTACATCTCATAACACTATGCTATGGTATTTAAAGTATTTATCAGAAAGCTTAGCTGTACCTGGTAGCGCCAGTTGGTGTAGGCTCTCAGGTAGATGGCGCTGTTTTTTTCCTCAATGGTCACCAGGTAATCTCCTGGATGTGAGGGGAGAAGTTGAAAGAATAACAAGGATGTAAAAATGTTGCTTCTTTTTTATGCCTAATCTCTTTATCTCTCCATCTCACACTGTTACCGCTACTGTTATCAGCTGCCTTGCTCCCATATTACACGAAAAACAAATGAACCGCTAAATGTGAATGTCAATACATGTGTGTCGCTGCTGTTGCTGACAAAGGAAGAGAGGAAATGTTTTTACCTATCTTGCTGTGCTGGATGCTCTTCACAGTGCCCATGGTGGCAAAGCGACAGATGAGAGGGCATCCCTCCTTCTCCACACTGTAGGCATCCACCTTGGTTGAGGTCATTGCATCACAACACAGTCAGTATCCTGCACAAATCTTTCATCTCCAAAAGATAAACTGATTATTTTCCCACAATCTGCAGACATTTAGGTATGTTTTTTATGAGGTTACACTTATGCTGTATATAAGGGTTAATCTTAGCTTTTTAATAATGATCGGATGGGGCAACTATGTTTTAAAATGTGTATATTTTAAGATAACCTTGCATCCTCCAGTAGCCACCACGAACAGGGCTCCACCTCCACAGCAGACCAGTCCAGGCTCCTGCTCCACCTGAGCAACAGAGAGGGACGGTAGACTAGTAAAAAATATACAAATAATACATTTGGATCATCAGTGGTTATGATTTTTTGTTTAAACAGAATCAGCCAGACTTCACTTACCTGTACTATCTGCTGTGAGGAGAAAGGATGGCAGTTGTAGACATGCACCATGTTTAGTCCGCCTGTTGCAGAGAGGATTGCATCCAGGGTGGAAATCTAACTAATTGTTTACAACTGCTTTCTCTTCTTTTGATGGTTGAGACATCTATATTCTCTACTCCTGTATCTGTATTTCTTGGAAACTTCATCCAGCAGGACGTCTACCATCACTTTAAAAAACAAAACGCATTCAAAAGCATTTTAATTAAGTCCAATGCAATCTTGCTTAAGAACATAAGACTCTTATAAGAGGTGGACAATTTAAACAATCATATCAGGCTCTAATGGGACTTATGATTTTTGGTTTTCAGTTTTCATACAGTAAATTAGGTTCAGGTCACACCGTTAAAAAAAACAAAATGTATTTTCTCAGATGCCTCTTGTGGTATTAACGTTGCAGATAGGTTGCACATAACATGAAGCACAATTAGTAGATTAATAGATTAGTCCATCAACAAAAAAAGCCTAAATCTTCTCTGTTTCAGCTTCTCAAATGTGAGGATTTGCTGTTCATTGTAATATTTGACAGTACACTGAAACTGAATCTTTGGATTTTGGACTGTTGGTCTGACAAGACAAGCAAATTAAAGACATCACCATGGCAATGACAGATTTCACTATTTCTAAACACATAGTCATAACTCATAGACTAAATGGTTAATCAAGAAAATACTTTTTATAGATAATTTTAAAATCTTTAGTTGCTGCCCTAATGTAATATCACGTGTAAAAACACCTTTTACTTGTAGGCTAGTAATTCAAATAACAGCAAATTTGGTACAATTTCACATGACCAATACAATAGAGATAAACTGAATTATGTTAGTGCATTGAAAATTACTTTTTTTAAATCAACAGCAACCCATCTTAGTAGTAGTTCCCAGCAAAACTGTTGGACTGGATAAGTAACAAGAACGATCTGCATTCATTCCTCACCTTACATGTTTCTTCTTTTGTAGAATGACCACTGACCAGAATGCCTCCCTGTTTGGTCATCACATCAAGCGAAAACCATCACTCCAAAACCCAAAGCACCACAGTTACCTCTATCAGCATATCGATATCGACGTCGAGGCATTCACTCAACATATAACTCAAATATTGAATCCATCTTTCCCTGCATCTCTGGCAGTCTATCAAGAGTTGAAACAGGGCTATTTTGTCCCGTGTGTTTTTCTCTAATCGATATCACATGCCGCAGTCTTGTGAGCAGCAGAGGGTGTACCAGTTCAATTCAGTATTTCCTCTTCGGTTTACTGACACTTTAGTCTAAAGTTGAAATATTTACAGAAAAGAAGTAACAGCTCTTAACTACCTACCCGGACCAGATCCTCGGTTTCTTCTCTTCTCTTATTTAACTATTCCACGCAGAAGTTTATTGATTTTACGTTATAAAGCAGGAAGTGAACCGTCAACCACAACAACAAAGCGCCCGCCCACTCTCAATTTTCATTGGCTGTAATTGCTGTTCGTATTGCGTTTGATGTTCTCATTGGTTATCGAGCTGTCACAGTCGAACTCATGGATCTTCCTCTGTTATGACAGCTTTTGTTTCACTGTATTTCCTCAACATTTTGTGGCTGTATAAACACCCGGGTGCAGTTTTGATAAGAAAGATTAATTAATAAGTACTAGTTTTGAAAGAGAAAACACTTATATATAGGTTAGTAGAAAGTAAATAAAATAAATAAATAAATAACATTATGTGCATACACTGTGATAAAAAAGGTTTTCACTGCCCTATTTAAAAAACAAAAACAAAATGTTGTACCATGCTTGGCAAAGGTCCCGGTTTGGATTCCAGTTTCTAATGTTTCTTAAAAAACAAAGAAAAATGTCTTCCTTCTAAAATTCTCATTGGTTCTGTCTATGGCCAGTCACAGCTTTCTCAAAGTCTCTGGCCATATTGAAATCTGGACAAACCAAAGACTGTCCTTGGCCAAACCTGGTGGATTAATTTCAGGGAGTGGCACCACCATCACCTTTTGTCATATCTAATATTAAATTGAATTTCTGTTTAACTGGAATTTCTGTATTCTTTAATCTCGCATTATAATCAGTCGTCATTAAAAACAGGTTTACAGACTGCTCCAAATTGAACTGTCTTCATGAGACCCAATTAATAAATTGTGGTAACACTATGTAGTGCTTTACAGTGAGTAGTGAGGGGAATTATTTAATGACACTGAGTCACACTTTTAAATGACAGGAACATTTTACACAGGGTTCAGCTTGTGTTCGTATGCACTGAAAGAGGAAAATAAGCGTCTTTACATAATCTGTATGAATGTATGTTTTTGCAGTTCACATTGGCAGCAGAAAAGCACAAGTCTATCTATCTATCTGATACAGTTACTGAATAATACCACACGGGGGCAGGAGTTTATAAAAAAGAAAAGGGAATCATGGACAAGAAATATGACAAAATGTAATTGAACATCTGAAGCCAAAACATATGCTTTCAGCAGGAAATATAACTGCATGTAAAAATCTGCACATTGTAATGTGCCAGCTTCTGTGTGCTTTTTGTTTCGTTGGATGTAGAGTTCGTGTCGTGTATGTTGTTTTATGGCGTTTATTATGTAGCTTCCTGTGAGGACGGAAGTCTTTTAGTTTGAAAGGAACATGGTCGTGTATGAAAATGGCGATTGACGGTAACGGAAAGTAACGAAGATGTTAACGTTACCATCAATTTACACAGCAGAGATATTGTGTTTTATCTAAAATTAGATGTCTATTGAAAAATATCCTCGCTGTAGTCGAATAGGTAACCAGTTAATTAAGTTATGTTTGAAAACTAGTGATTTTTTTATATGATAAATTAACTACGTTGGTAACCTTAGCTAGCAAAGTTAACGATTGTTAGCTAACTAGCAAAATAAAGATTTAACGTTAAGTTAACAGATAATGGTTATTTCTATTCATCTTACTTTTCTTCTTTTGTTTTAGATTTTCTGTTCGCTAGCTCTTAGCTTAGTGGCTTTTCAAGGCAACATAACCAATACATTGCATAACTTGGACAATCAAGCAATTAAGACTATTTGTTTGGGATGCTAATGTTATAATTTTACGTTGCGTTAACGTTACATAACGTTAGTTGTGATAATAGGTTACCAAAGTCGGGGGTCAGATTTTAGACAGAGACAGAGTCAGAGTCCGAGTCCCAAAAGGTGAAAACTTATTCCTGTGCGTTGTTGATAAAGTAACTTAACTACAGTGGTCGTAAAACTGAAATATGTAATAAATTATGATGTAAAGTTAGAATGATGTCTCATGTAAGTTAGTTTAGGCCCTACAGACCCTTGGGCCTTTAACTAATTAACGTTGATAACTTTACAACATTTTTAAGTGACTAATATTTCATTGCATTGTCTCATTTAGGCTTCAATTACAAAGTGGCAGAACAGAGAAAGATCAATAGCTTCAGCTACAGCACACATGTAATTAAACTATTTTGGATTTATAAAAAAATCCAATGTCCATCAGAGGGCTAACACGTCAATTATTCCTCCCCTAAAATATTGCTGCTGAAGCATTACCTTCATTTGCATTTACTCCTCATTCTACCACTGCGGAACACAGTAATGTTACCTGCCGAAGAACCACTTTTACATGTCAAGTGTATTTTGTTGTTCTGCATAAGTACTTGAATGCGATGCGGTCGAAGTTTTATCCCTGTGCGTGAAGGCATCATCTCTCTCTCGCTCTCTCTCGGGGCTGACAGGTACTTCAAGGTTGTGGCTTTTTCCAGATCTCAGCTGAGGTGTCGACAGCAACTCAGGTTGATGTCATTGGCCGATTAAAACTTTGCCGTCACCAGTACAACGTGCCAAAACGAGGATACTATAATCAGTGCTTTAACCGTGGACTCTGCAATATATCCTCAGCAAGTGTGCAGACTGCATGCACCAGTCAGCTGCACCGCCTGCATGTCTCTGTGTGTCGCCCTGCACCTCGTACAAGGTAAGACTTATTTGTCACTTAAATGATTGGCACAATATGATTTATGAACATTCCACAGGGCAAAAATGAGCAATGCCACAAAACATTTTCAATGTTGCCCAACAGCCATCTCTGCCTTCACCTGGAAAGATACACGTTTGTTTTACTGAGTTGGCAAATTATGTACCTGACTTGCAACTTGAACATAATTTTGTGCCCACTTCACATCAGACAAAAATTATTAATAAAACTCTGTGTGAGGAGAAAGGAAAACTGAAAGAAACTTTAAAAGGTTTGCACTGACATCTGGAAATTATGTATTTGGAGGTATTATGTAAATTTCAATCTTTTTACTTCAAGGACTTTCAAAAAGATGCACTTTCAGACCTCTAAGTCTTGCTACTTAGTTATGATTCAGCATGGAATTGCATGAAACAGAGTTGAATCCTCTAAAATGATTATGGTGATGTTTGCATTGTAACCTACAGGATTTAAGAAAAGAGGATTCCTCTTTCCTGGGGACCCCCTATGCTATGTCGGATCTGCTCCATAGGTCCTGTAGAAAAACAGATGCTGCTAAGATGTTTGTAGGTCTAGTATGTGCAGAATCCAGGCGCTCCCCGGAGGAATGTCCTTACCTCAGAGCTGAGTCATGCAAATTATTCCTCCCTTCTGTCTCCCATCTCCTATCTTAGAGCTGTTCTAAAATACCAGTTACATTTCATAAGTTATGAATTATTTTGAAGGATAGAGTCTTAAAATCTTCTTTTCTCCATAAAGTCCATAAAATCTAATGTCTGTGGCGACCTGAAAAAAGTGACTTTTTACAACAGAAATAGAGGAAATAACCAAACTCCACTAAAGTTTTCAATAAAATGCCAAGAAGGATGAAACTGCAATGAAAATTGTAAGACAAATAAAATAAGACAATTCCATGCAAGTGATGACTTCTTGCAGTTCTTTACATATCCAGCATGGTGTGTTTTATATGGCAGCAAATAATGCAGAAACATGTTCACTTTCTCAGCTCCTTTTTCAAGCAGATCCAAGCAGAGGTTGTTTTTTTTAGGTAAAACAATTGCTTGCATTGATTACTGTCAGTGATTTAAGTAATATGAGAGTATATTTCTTCAAGGAGAAAGTTCAAGAGATGAACTTTCACTGGAAAACATTAAATTACACTGCCATGTAAGTATTTTCCTGTTTACCCCTGGATTGTAAAAGGAATACAGAGATACTTGTATTTAAATACAGAGTAAGCAGGGAAAATTAGTCTCTGAGAGAACATTTGAATCAGTTTGAGACCTAAGAAAAACTTTAAATGAAATCCAACCTCCTGGAGGCAAAAAGTCAGAACCAAATGAAAACTGATAATATTGTGGTGCAGTGTGATAATACCCCTCTGCCTGCAGCACAGACACAGTGAAAGTCATCTAGCATTTCACACAAATAAGATGTTTGCTGCTGTGTGGCTACTTAGCTGCATGCCCAGCCATGCTTGATATGCACCTGCATGTGTGTGAATGAGAGAGAGAGCGATAACTTGATGAAGCTGTCAATTGCACAAACCCCTCTAGCAGTGGTTTAGTCTCAGTTCACACATGTACACAAATGCAGGCAGCTTTAACTCTTTATTAAACTCTCTGAGAAGAAGTTTAGAGTAAATGGAAAAGAAATACAAACGGGGGATGGAAGGAGGGGCAAAAAAAGACAGAAATTATGCATAAAACTGCAGAAATGAGGAGGAGGAGGAGGTACTGTAGAAAAACCCAGATGAGGCAAGGGGGGAGATGGGAGGTGACAGCACAGTCAGTCGTGAAAGGAAACATCAGGAGAGGAGGGTAAGATTGAAAACCCTAAAATGGAGAAGTATAAAAAAACAGTGTGAGGAAAAAAGATGAGAAGGAAAAGACAAGTTTGGATAATTATAAGAAAAGGGGAGTAGTTTTGAACAGTCCTAAGATTACTGCCTCCTTGTTGTGAAAAACAATAGTTATTCACTGTCTAACCTGATCCTCACTGAGATATGCTCCTGTCATATTCCAGCTGCTTCTGTAGTTACTGTAACCTACAGGTAAACACACTCAGACAGCTTCAGACATGTTCTCAAGGCAAGCACACAACCACAGAGAGAAAATGATATTCCACCTTCTGTCAAATGTTTAAGTTCACACCTCAGAAATAGTTCAGAAGAGGTCATGGAGCATCTCAATAATCAGTAATCTTCCTGTCCTGATTTATTTGCTCAGTCCACTAAACACGGAAAAGCAAAAATGAATTTTGTTGGACATGTTAGAGGTGTAACTTTATGCTTTGTTTCTGATGCAGAGCTGACATTTGTAGCTGAGAAGTACTGCAAACCACAAGTCAAAGGGTTTTCACTTGAATTTATAAATTTGTTTCAGGGTGTGGATTTGGGTAGTTGCTTTCCTTCAACACTGAATAAACAAAAAGACTGAGCTTTGCTAGGTTAAACTGCATGCCAAGCATTTTTTTTTTTTTTGTAGGTAAATGTAATGTCAGTGATGGTTGGTTATTTGATTTGAGATTTGTCTGCCCCACAGTGTAAACTGTGCATTAAAATTACACACTGACCATGGCTGGGAGATAATTCAATGATATAAAGTAATTTAACTTTTGGTGGTGATATGGTCATATTGTTTGAGGTTATACAATTTATTTTTAATGATTGAAAGTTACTAAAACATTTTTACATCACCAATTAGAAACAGTTTGCGCTTTACTTATTGAGTTCTGTATATATGGCAGGTATTGAATGAGCAGTATTAAATCAACGTTGTTTGGTGCACTTACTTTGGTTGTGTTGCAGTTACATTAAATGGTATTGTTATGTGTCTATTTGTCTCTATTAGTCATATTGGACAAATGAGAAGCAACCTTACGTGCCACCTGGATTATTAGCACAGTTGCCTAAGACTGTAACTTAGTGAAATTGTCTCATCTTCCCTGCATAGCGTCCTTCATTTGAAATAATCAAACATCTTGCTGCCTGGCTTAGTAATATGAGCTGGGACTGGTGGCCTGGTGGTGATGCTGATGTTATTTTTGCAGCTTAATTCAATTGGTTGGATTGTGTCAGTCTAATGTAATTGGCAAAATGGATGCCCTTGGACTGTAAAAGGCAGCCAGTACAGGCATTAGAGAGTGCCTGAGTAAATGGAAAATTGTCCTCTAATGCTGTCGTAGCTGCTCTGGACTTTGAGTTTGATGTTTGCCAAAATTGCTTTGGTATTTGGTGAGTGTCTGACAAATAGCCAGGCGTGTTCTGTAATGCTGGGATAGGTCGATTTTATATTCTGTAATACAATGGACACTGTGACGATGCTCCAGGGAAATGCGGTCATGGGAAAAAGCTTAGGTCAAACCGACAGGGAGAGGAGAGGACAAGAAGCCTGGATTGGACTTAACAGGAAGAAGAACCCTCTAGGGATAGAGTACGGGTTCAGTTTTCTGGATAGTAAACTTGTTCACTGGGAACACTTTTCCTCAGTGCCTACTTCTTTTCTATTCGTCAGTGCTGACCTCTTCTCTATTCTCTCGTCCTGTCAGCACTATTGGGAATGTGTACAAGCTTGTCCATTGTAAACAAAGAGAAAAACTGCCAGCGCTGTAAAACCAAGAACCTCAGGAGTTACACAAGATGTAACCTTTCTCTTTGGCCAGTTGGTGGCAGCCCTACTGAGTTGCACTGTCTTACTAGTGTTTGTTTATAATTTAATTTATAAGGAAATCTGACTTCCCCAAAGGAAATTAAACAAATGCATAATTTTCCCTTTTTTCCGACCAGGTAATTTCTAACTCCCTCTAAACTGCTTTCCTTCAGTCTTCAAATTGAATGCCAGTGTTCATTTGTTTGTCTGGAAATGTTCTGTGATCTTTCGAGCGTTATCAACCAGCCATGTGGAGTCCTTTTGTAAATTTTACGAGATAAACCGCTCACAATATCAGGGAAAAGCCTAAACGCTTTAAAATGACATACAGCTGTTCAGTAGTCTGTGCTGCTCAGTAATACATGGATCATCTGGCTGAAAGATGCAGTAAAAGGTTAGGCAGAGCCTTAGACAGACAGGGTGTGGCTAACACAGGTTTCATTGGCACCCTTTTGCTGCAGAAGCTTCTCAATTAACCCCGGTTGTTCAGACTTTAAGACTTGATGGCACATGTTTATGGTAATCATATGGAGGGCACTGTTAGACCTTTTCCCTCTGATATCCCTTTTTAAATTAGTGAAAGAGAAACTAGGCAATATGGCACAGTAGTGGTGGCTCTAAACAGCAGTTTGACATGGCTAACATGTAAATTCCATGTGAACTTCACACAGAGTACTCACATTTACTAGTTTGTTAAGCTTTATACAGAGGGGTAAAGGAGGCAGAAAGGGCTGATGGGGAAGTGTCCAGGCTTTTCCTGAATGATGTTTGGACCCCCACCCCCCACCCCCAACACCCAAATTAAATTTTGACATTACAAATTGTGCAGCTTCAGAAAGCACGATTTAGCTTTTAACCCTTTGGTTTGGCTGCAAATTCATCTGAGCCCAGTCTACACAATAAACAGCAGTATGGGCCTAGAAGCACACATATGAACAAACTGTTTAAGGAGTGTGAGCATAGGTGGTGGTAATGTGGTCATTTATGTTTGTAGTTTGTAAAAACCTCAAATTGCAGTTTCAGTCACTCTTACCTAGAAAAATGAAAATGCTATGGGTGGGAATCACCAAAGGCCCAATGATATGATACGTATGTCACAATACGATATTATTGCGATTTACTTAAATTTATTACCTTTTTTCCAACTACAGATTGTGTTCCCAAAGGAAAGCTATTTTTCTAGTGGACTGAAAAATCTATTGATTTTATTATTATAGTACCAAGTAAAATTCTCATGTACAATTTATATAATAAAAGATCGATCCTTGGCTTCCGTGTATCAATGCAGTATTGCCACTGAAAATATTGCGATACAATGATGTATCGATTTTTTTTTTCCCCACTATCCTA